AAGAGTTCACATCTTTATTAAAGTCACCTGATAACAAGCAAATATCGTCTGTTTGGAGCCAGAAGGCAAAGCTTGACACTCACAGGCACCCAGAACACAAGAGCACCTTAAGTCCAGAGTCTAGACCCCCTAAATGTTTATTTTTATTTTTGACAGGAAAAAGGCATACAGACTGTAGCAGTTCAATGTGCACCCCCTTCCTAAAAGTCTAAAGTGGAGCTCTACAGAAGAGAAAGTCCTATACTTCAACACAGAGCTAATTACACCTTTGCTGGCCCCAAGCAGATGATATTTCATTTCATCTATCCATTTCGTAGTCGAAGATAAAAACAAAATTATATACGATCTTTAAAACAAACATATGTAATGACATTATCTGACGTGGGAGGATCATAAAAAGCACATTAGTGGCTCGTCAACATTCGTCCCGGGTGCCTTTTAGTATCAACAACTGCAAAACTGTTATTCAAATAAGAAATTATTTTTCAAATGCTTGAAAACTTGAAATACATTCAAACAGTGTTTACATAATTTTGTCATACTTTTTCAAAATGCTTACTGAAAGCGAGACTGCCCAATCAATCAATCATCTGTCTAATTTGGCACCACATTGTACATTGTATGTGAGCATGTTTCCATTCATGCATGTACAGTGTAATTCAGAAATTGTATGTCATCGTCAACCAGACAGTTTCTTTGTTTAATGGGCCTTTTTCTTTTCATTCCCAAACTTCCCCAATAAAGTGCATGTATTCTATCATTAATTTTTTTGTTTTTTTGTATATCATCCATACATGTGATTTATACGAGGCAATTGAAACATGACACCGGTTTAGGAATGGTTTATGATATGGCATGGTTTATGATGTTTTTGCACCCCAGGCAGGAACAAGTTTGAAACCTACATGTAATGTACAGTGCGTCCCAGAAAAAACGAAACCGAGAATTATCAATGTTTTATCATAACTTAATCACACTTATAATTATTAAATTACACTTTATAATTGATAAATGACACATATTTGTAAAGCTTAGATCCTCCTTTCATTTGATGCAACTCATATAATGCATATTTCACATATGAGTGATTAAAAACAATTTAAAAAAAAGGGTACTACAAAGTCATTTGGCAAACGGTATCTGAATTTCAAAGAGAAAATCACCTTTCCAGAAGTTTAATTTTTATCCTTTCATATGACACTTCAATCAGGAAAAAAGAGCCAGGAATAACAAAGTTCCATTTGTTTTAAAAAGTAATGCTTTAAATTGATATGAATTAGGGAATCATATTCCACTTTGGAACAAAGAAAAATTCAGACCCCATGTCTTGTCTTCATTTATTGCACATGTGTATTTTTTTTTTATTTCAAAGCAGGAATTTCTATTAGAAATCACTAAAATTGCACTCATAACTTGTATTCTGAATGGACATTCTATTCAAATATTTTCTTAAAGACAAAGTGATGATATCATCTTCTTGAGAAGGGTTAAATGGGATCTTCTGGTCATGATACAGAAATAATAAATGTGGTTATTAGAAGATTAAGTTGCCTACAGTAGTTGTAGAAGTACGCTTTACAGAGGCGGTATAAATTAGTTTTGAGCCAGATTGGATTTAATTCTTTGTGATGTGAGGCCACACCTTTTAATCTGGCTCCAAATATTTTCTAGAAATTTTCCACAAAATAAGTCGACAAGCTCTCTATTCAAACAGTTTCTGGATAATTGTTCACATGTATATCAAACGACAGATTACAGGAAAATGTGCTAGTACCCATAATACCTGTAGCATACATGTAGTCTCTATTCAAGTTTTGCTCATCTAGAAATAGATTTGAAGGTAAATTGGTTTGCACTTCTCACCCCTGCCTCCCCTCAGCTCTAGTGTGCCTCTTCTCCCGGCCGGCCGGCCAGCCAGCGGTTTGCCCCCTTGCTGTGCCTCCCTCCCTGCGCTGGGTACAGTAGCTCGCACCTCGAGCGATTCACATTTGTTTAGATTGATCAAACGGTGGATCATAGTTGACGTTGGTGATCAATGTTCGGGAGCGTGTCACATGTTCAGGGGGCTAGTGATGGCTCTGTTGATGTAGCCATTTGATTTGTTTGTCCCCCAGCAGAGCGCTTTATTAAATGATACTTACGATACATCCCTCCTTGCATTACTTGAACCGAGGCGGTGTATATAGGAGCTCCCGGGTGAACTGTATGTGCATGCCTTAATTTGCATCATGTGAATTCTTGAATCAGTCACAAGCACTCCTTGTATTATGATATCTGTTAATTTACATGTATGTACATGTATTAGCGTTTTGACAGACATACATTTGTACATTGTTGATTTTTGCATGAAAATAAGGTAGTATTTATTAAAAAGAAACATAGAAAACCTTGCCATTCATACAGCCGTCCTCACGTGCAATGTACAAGTTTGTGCATGTTGAATTAAAGAAGATACAACAAATTTATTCCATGTACAATTTGTAGATGTCAAATTGCCATATACTAGATATAGTGTTTAGAGGAAAAAATGTTTGCAATGGGGTTTTGTAGGCAGTATGAAGTCCTTTTTGCAGACTGTATTATCTGTGGCAATAATGGGTTCTGCACAAGCTATTTTGCTACCATATAGTATCTATAGCCAATTTAGCCTCATTAATCATTATAGACATTGATGATGACTAGTTTCATTTCCTCTTCCAACAATCAATTAACATTGATGAGTTCTCATTTGCAGATGACAATTAATGTATTGTGACCTTGCATCCTGAACAGTCCTTGTTTTGTACATAGTGATGACATAACTTTGAAAATCATCGTCACAATCGTTGCTTCGAATCAACATGCTACTGTGAATGTGTAGATCCCGAACTGCATGTACAGTAAATCACCCTGCTCTGTGCCCCTCGCTTGCTGCCTTCTCCTCGGGGGCACCCCAGGTCATCTCACCGGCACACCTTACTCCCGCTCCTTGCCCTCCCGTTCCTACTCCATCTCTCCTCTGCGATCAGTCCCCATGCATGCGTACTCGTTAGGCCTGTCTTCATCAGCTTGAGTTTGCCATATAACCCGCTATTTTCAGACTCTGAATATTATCCCGAAACTCGAAGTTGCGCCTTCATCAGATCAATACACTCATCACAAACTAGCTCGGACAGGCGCAAATTAGCCCGCTATTTCCCAAATAGCGGGATATTTTGGAAACAAGACTGAGATTACTCGGATATTTTCTCAACCAAATATCCTGCTAATTACAACTGCGGGCTGAATAGGAAGACGCAAATTAACTGGATAATATGCGATTAGGAAAGTTAAAATAGCGGGTTATTTGGCAAACTCGAGCTGATGACGACAGGCTATTTAAACAGTCACACAGAGGTAAACCATCCAGATAGTACTGTGCAAGTCAGGTCAATCCTGCCCATGGCATGGTTAGCAACCCGCCACATGATGCATTATACATCAAGCTAGATATGACAGTCGGGCATTCATAACGGGGCCAGATCGCTCTGTATGCGTATTAGCGTGAGCCAGGGTAAATTCAGGGTAGTTACGGCATGCTCCTCAGAGTCGTCAGATCGTCCCGCGTTGTCGGGCAAACACCATCATCACGTGCATCCTCTTGAAAGGATGGCATCATTGGAGGTAATGATGATGCCAAATCCTCCTTGTCACCTTCAAATTCCTGGCTGTCGTCTTGAATGAGGGGCTGTGTATATATTCGACGGTTAGCAAGTGACATGTTTATCTACATCCATGCGATTTGGTTGAAAGTACTTTGAAACATTCATCATCTAGCAGATGTACTTTTGTATTCGTTGTGTGAAATATCCCAATTCAATGCATTGAAAGCTTTGAAACATGTTTTGCTTGTCAATCATACATGTAGCTGTGGGATCATACCACATGGTCAGATATCATTTTCACTACAACTCTGTAAACATGTATCACTACAAACACATGTATTCCTGTTATCAAGTTCAAACAAACAACAGCTGTTAATCAAAGGTTTTTTTATTTCTTCAGCTCATGAGTAATGCATACATGTAGTATGGTCCTACAGCTAGTGAATACCGGTAATGATTTTTTTTAATTTAAACAAAAAATGTCTTTAGACTTCAAAATGTAAATGATTGCCGTTTTAATATGAAATTAAAATGTTTTACTCTCATAGTTTAAGTTTTTCTCAAATTGCACTTTAAAAAAAAAAAACTGTACTGTGTGTTCTTGGAGCATGTTGACCTCCTTAAAGGGCCTACACATGTAGATCCAATTCAGTTCTTATTGGTTTTGCTGTGTAAATGAAAGCTATGAAGCAAAAATCTGTCTATGATCAGGGATGCCAGTCTTCAGGCTTTTGCCTGATTTCAAGCCCTGACAGCTTCCCATTTCAGGCTTTTTCAGGCTTTTTCAGGCTTTTTCAGGCTTTTTCAGGCTTTATATTGTACAGCACATATGGGGCTTTAACGTTTTCTGGCTTCTTTTCAGGCCCTTGAGTAAAACTGACTGGCATCCCAGTATGATGTCTGCCTATGATATGGAGTTCCACTCTGTATTGCTCTGCTTTTCTATGTGCAGATATGAGGAAATGTGTAGAAATGCTGGCAGTTATTCAATGTCACTTGTTTTTGCTTAAATATAGTATTATCTGCTTTATAGAGCCAGAAAAGCATGTTCACTTTTTTTTTGTACCGGTATACAGGCAGTTAATGCCCTTATGGCTAGTAGCTTTACAAAATGTACAGTGTGCAAGAGATACATTGTTAAGATAGCTGTGTGATAATGACAGTGAATCAAGCTAAGAATCAATCTTATAATCTTTTTTCCAGGTTGAAAATGGGTTAGGAAACTACTACCGTGCATATGAAGGATATGGTCCAATATCATGATGTTTAATATGGTGGCCTTATTGTACTAATTCCCAGCTGAAATGTGAAGAATCTAAAGTAATTTTGCTCACGTTTTAACTCCATTCTTGTCCTCTCGCTTTCTTACCACCACAGAAACCGCACAGAATACTTGCCTTTGCCCTTTGCTACACATTGACATGCTTTGTCTGCCTGAGCCTATACTATGACGGCACCTACAAAGCAGACACATCACACCAGGTAGCAGTGCGCCTGACCAATCCTTCCCCAGCCCCGCCCGCCACGCCCAGGCCGCCCGGAGAAGTCCACCGGAATGTCTCGCGGGAGATACTCCAGCTGCAGGACACGGCGGAGGAGCTGCAGCGGCAGGTCGAGCGCCAGACCGCGGAGCGCCCTCACCCCAAGAAGATCGACTGGCGAGAGGTGGTCAAGAGGGATATGTTCAAGGAGAAAAAGAAGCTTTTGTCTTCGAATGACTACAGGCATTTTGCCAACAATAAGGTATGAAGCACTTCTTTTTTGGGGGTTTTACATTTTTATATAGTTTTACATTTATATATTTTGGTTTTACATTTTCATTTATGAAGCAGTGACTTGATAGGCAAAGAGATTGTAAATGGCAAATCCATATTATTTTATGCTATACATTACCAACTGTATTAGGTTCCTCAGAGAGGACCTAAAGCTGCCGTCTGTCTGGTTGCTTACTTACAAGCATTTATGCTTTCTTAGCATTCAGGTAAAATCACCACCACCATGTGTCATAATACTGTATTTCAGATTTATATCTGCTCATTGGAGAAAGTTAATAGACCGGTTTACTTCTAAACATATTCAAATTTATGGATGTTTCTTTCCTGGGGACCTAGTGATGAGGTACATGTATTCCATTAACCTGTTATTAATGTATGAACTACAATACTATACTTTTAATCTAGTGTGCATACGTTCCTCGTTGCTATGTTGGGCAAGCCTCAGTCAATTTTTTTGGGTTGTCAAGAACAACCCTTCAACACATTTGATGTTGATATAGGTTTGAATCTCCTCAATACATGGTAACGTGTAGGACATCAAATGACCAAATACATTGCACTTGCCCAAATACGGATTTTCAGTTGCTGCAGCTGAGCGCTAAATGTCCTCATGCACGTGCTTGCGCATATTCAGTGCAGTGAACATGCCATCGATCCTATTGGAGGACTTTCTCGAAGTGGTTCTGTCCGTTTTGCTTCTATTCATTTTGGCTCTACCATGTGAGTCTCATCATTGATTCGTCCCTTTCAATATCACTACTGAAGTCTTCCCACCCGCTTGAATGTTTCAAGATGACTTGTGAAAAATTGAGACAAAATCGAAAAGACATGCAAAAGCAACCACAAAGAATAAATGCCCTGATCAGGTGAAGAGTGCATTCACTGTCAATGCTCTTTATGGATTTTGCTTAGATCGGGCGGTTGTGAAGTCGCAGGAATTCGTTTAATTTTTGCTGTGAAAAAGAAAGTTTCAAAATGAAGTAATTCAGTTGGGAGGGTTGGGATATACATGTATTGTAAAGTGTTCAAATAATGTAATGTTACATATTTGGTGAGCAGTCATTGAGGAAGTCAAGTTGTACATGGCTGGCTTATTGGATCTCAGAGACCGGGCGGTGTCCCTAGCCGCGTGCCAGTCGAGTGTGCTAATGCCTTTGCGTAAGCCATATATCCGCATGGAGTATTCCGGTAAAATAAACATTCAGTGTGACAGTCAATACCAGCTCTGAGCTTGTCATAGCGGTATATGATTATGTAACAAGAGCAGACTGTTTAATAGCACTTCATCGGCTTTTAGAGTAGCCCTATTAAAATGTTTATTCATTGCAGTTGACTCATTTTCATTGGGGTTGCTGGCCCGTTCCTAGTCTGCAAGCACAGACCCTAATTTGACACTTTATCAAAAAATCATTGTGCCTTGAGAGAAGCCTAGCCCAGCTACCTACTGGTTGTGTACATGGCCTATGGTAGTCTTATAGTGCAGACTCTCTTTTACGACTGACCAGGGTTTGTGCCTGCAAACTAGCCTGTTCCTGTTACGAGATCTTGGACAATCTTAGTTAAAACTATAATGTAGCAGATCTTTCTTCATACTTGTTAGAAATAACAGTAATGTCTCTATACAAAAGTGTTGGTGAAGATTATGGATTTATTACAAATATGTTTTTCTTGGCGCATCCAGTTGGTCCAAGTCCAAATTAATTTTCATTTTTCTTGGCTTTAAAAGTTAGAAGAGGGCAAGGTACTGTACATGTAGGTGAAGAGTATCTGACTGACACGACAAATCAGTTTTCCCCTTTTAATACGATTGTACTTTTTGGCAATTCAGTCAATTGTTAGTTTACTTTCTATTTTTTTTCCTGTTAATTCAGTCAATTGTTAGTTTACTTTCTATTTTTTTCCCTGTTAATTCAGTCAATTGTTAGTTTACTTTCTATTTTTTTCCCTGTTAATTCAGTCAATTGTTAGTTTACTTTCTATTTTTTTTCCTGTTAATTCAGTCAATTGTTAGTTTACTTTCAATTTGTATTTCCTGTTTCATTATTATTATGATTGTTGTTATTTTGAGATTAATCATACTCAATACAAAGAGAGCCTCTGGTATGATTTGTAAAATTTTAGTAATTGGAGCAAAAATGTAGATTGTTTTGATATCCAGTTTATGGTAATCTTAGGGGGGTTCTGGGCTGCACCATACCTATTGTATTTTTTAATTTATCAACTGTTTTATATTACAATCGTTTAACTTGAAAATCCCATTAGCCAGGATTTTTATTCCACAAATGTTTTGTAGCAGTGTAAATTAGAGCTATGCTTTGGCTGACTGAGTGAGCCAGCAGTTGCTATTAGCATCATGAATATGCTAATGAAGTTCTCAGTCCTTCCCCTTTCCCATGACAGCTCTGTAGGCCTGTCTTCATCAGCTCGAGTTGGCCAAATAACCCGCTACTTTAACTATCCCGATCGCAAATCAACCAGTTAATTTGCGTCCTCATCAGCCCGCAGTTGGAATTAGCGGGATATAATTTAGTTGAGAAAATATCCTGAGCTATCTTGGTCCTGTTTCCAAAATATCCCGCTATTCGGGAAATAGCGGGCTGATATGCGCCTGTCCAAGCTAGTTTGTGATGAGCTTATCGGTCTGATGAAGATGCAATTTCGAGCTTCGGGATAATATCCCGAGTCTGAAAATAGCGTGCTATTTGGCAAACTCGGGCTGATGGAGAAAGGCCTTTTGTGAATAATTGAAAGGCACCCCAGACCGAGACCTTGGAAACTCAATCAATCATTCATATAAAAATGAATTTCCATAAATTTATCTCATTATTTGATTTCATTATTTGATATAGATCCTGTATGTTAATTTCTCTCTCCCTTTTTTCTCCCTCTCTCTCTCTCTCTCTCTCTCTCTCTCTCTCTCTCTTGAAGTATAAATACCACCCATAAAAATATCTTTTTCTGTGTTGGTTGATGTTTGATATCAGGAAAAAACACTAACAATGGTACTTGCGTGGATGCATTAAAAAAAATGAAGTGTATCATTCAACATTTTGGCTTAAAATCTTATTTTTTAAATTTCTTATATTCATTTAGTTTTTTTTTGCGGGATATAGTTTGAGCACAATTTCTCAATACCTTATTCAATATGTCAGTACTCAGCAGACATATCAATTTACCTATTATCCGCTACTACTTGCAATGAAATTAATGAAAAAATATGAATTCATTTGGTCAGCATTCTAGTATATTGGTTGATTTGCATGCATGGCTTGGGTGGAGCATGCTCAATTTCATTTAGCAACATTGCGGTTGGGAAACTGTACACGTAGCATGTATGAAACATTCATAGAGCACAGACGCCCCTCCCTCCATGTTGAGTTTTATTGCCAGGCTTTGCTCACAATACAGGTTCTTCTTATTTATAAAATATTTACAAATAGATATTTGATAGGGGCACTAATTCTTCCACATTGAGCTTTGAGATTTGTTGGAAATGAAAAATTGAACATGTTAAAAGCATGCGATACAGTCTTGTTATGCTTTTTTTCAAGAGTGCCCCTCCCCCCCCCCCCCCCCCACCGCCCAAAATTTGATATATAGTATCTGATTCTGATGGGACCTCTTTAAAACGTCTCTGTACAGTATGAGTGGAGTCCTGATGTAAACATGCATGTGCTACTCCTCTGTGTGAACAGGTCAATATTTGATGATGTTGACGTTGGTCATGAATAAATGAGTAAGCACCGTGGACAGAGGCAGTAGGGTGAGAAAAATATAGTGTCTGGTTGGGATACACAGAGTCAGGTTGGGCTCACACGAGACCATGTGAGCTGTGCAGTCAAGCAAGGGATTGCCTTCCAGCACCGAATGCTACATGTGGGACTGCATGAAGTATATATATATATATATCGATGACTCGTACTCATGAGTCATGCACAATGAAAAAAATTGCAAGGCAAGAAAATGTACCTTATAGTTAAAGGTTTGTTTGAGCTGCCCAGAAGCTTGCAGAGGCCTTCCAATAGAGAGAATATGGTAGAAAAGAAAAAACATTTCCCATATAATATATTCCAGATTAGTTTTTATTGATGATCCGCTTCATGGTGCTTATAAATAAAGTCACAGTTGGGTGTCCATGTGTAAAGAACATAATTTTACCTTGAAATACTTGTATGAAGTAAAAATTTATGAATGAAAGAAAGAAAAGCACAAATCATTCGTGTGGTCCTTTAGTCACAGTTGCGTGTCCATGTGTAAAGAACATAATTTCACCTTGAAATACTTGTATGAAGTACAATTTATGAATAAAATAAAAAACAAAATCATTTGTGTGGTCCTTAAGTCACAGTTGGGTGTCCATTTGTAAAGAACATAATTTCACCTTGAAATACTTGTATGAAGTACAATTTATGAATAAAATAAAAAACAAAATCATGTTGGGTGTCCACTGTAAAAAAAAAAAAAAAAATTTTACCTTGAGTACAATGTATGAATAAAAGAAAAAAGCACAAATGAATTGTGTGACAAAATGACAATCTCACATTCTTATTCCTATACTGATTGGAAGCTGTGTTTGTTTATGATACTATTTATGGTAGATTGGAATTTTTGAAATGTTTGAAATGTTATCACTTATCATTACCCCCTTTATAGCCAGTCGAGTGGGCAGCATTTCTCCAAAACGTCAGAAGTGCAAATTCACTGCCATCCCGTTTAAATGTGTGTATTGTAATTAACACACCTTTCAATGGGATGTTGATGAACTTGTAATTATTACTGTTTTGTGAAAAGCTGCCCTGATTCACATTTGTGTGAATGACCAGTGAATGACCAAGATAATACCTAATAATGCCCATGCATTAATATTAAAAGGAATTTCACAATTATCTATGCCACACCTACTCATATGAAGTTATTTCTTTCCTACTCTGAATGCAACAGCAATTACGTCATATTACCCACTTCAAATCCCTTGCGTATTTGCTAAATGCCATCTATTCAAGATGCATTTTCTTTTTCGGAAAAACATTACCTAGAACCTCTTGCCCAGAGCTCTTCCGAAGTAAACGCCCTCATTTACGTCAGACCCAATTTGATGTTAATTTGTGAGCATCTCGTAAAATGAATACAGCAGAGAAGCCATCATGATCCCCTACAGACACATCCATTGTGACACATTCATGTTATCTTTCTACAGTGTGTATCAAAAGAAAAGGTACACATTTTGAGAAAAAAACTCAAATTGTTCAGTTTCATGATATCTGCATGATTTTTTTTCTCTCATAAAACTATGGGTAAGGGACTATTCAATCGGATGGCACTGAAAGTATTGACAATACTTACAGCTTTAGTGAGCATCGGATAATTTTGAAAAAACTTGTAAAAGCTGGTTTGCTAAAAAATGTTTAAACCTTAGGTTGGATAAAAAAATTTAATCAGGCAGTTATTCCATAAGTATTAATGATTGATTAGAACAATCATTTGATCTTTAATAAACCTTATACATACCTATGCGTACCCCTAGTGGCATATCCAGAAATTATTAAAGGAGAGGGGCAGTCTCAATCCTCCCAAGACGGGGGTTCAGTAAATGTATCTGGGCAGCCCCTTTCTTGTACCCCCTAAAGTAAGTTTCATAGGCCTATCTTCATCAGCTTGAGTTTGCCAAATAGCCCGCTATTTTTGATATGGGGAAAAAAGGCAGAAGTTACAAATCGCGTCTTCATCTGCTCGAGACCTCGACCTCGAAACTTGAAGCTCGAGCTCGAGAAATTAGCTTGATATATTTTGCTCAGCGTTCGTGCATAGTGCAAGTCTTCGGGCTGGTGAAGACGCACCAGACAAATAGTGGGATATTTTGCAAACTAGCCCAAGATATCTTGGGATGCAATTATCTCGACCAATTATCCCGCTAATTGCAACTTCGGGTTGATGAGGACGCAAATTAACTGGATAATTTCATAATTTGCGATCGGGATAGTTAAAATAGCGGGATATTTGGCAATCTCGAGCTGATGAGGACATACATGTACATATGGAGTTCAATAAGCTTCACAGAATGCTGGATATATAGCAACTTACTCTTTTTTTTATACACCTTGTAATATCAAATAGCGGCCTCTTTTCAGTGAATGTCAGAGTTGCATTATGAACATCACAGCAGCACTGAACTGCCCCCAGAACATGGCTCTGACCATAGACCTACGCTCTGACTAATCCACGCTACACAAATCTCAGGGCCGTTTTTGATATCTCCCAATAGATCGATTGTTGTCGGAAAAATGATGACTTATGGAAAAACATTATTCACTCTGCATTCTCTGTAAAATTTTATACCCATGATGTGTCACATACATTTCAAGAAAAAAATGCATGGGAAAAAAAATTTGGGGAAAAATGAAATCATCATTAGGCCCTCAAGAGCACTAACATCTTAAATAGTTAATATTAAATTGATGCACTTGGCATGATCAAATTACAGATGCCTTCCTTCAAAGGAAATTTCTCACACTGCAGCTTAACTGTTTTTTGTGCAATTTTCAATTATCGCATTTAATATTATAAGCTGTACTTAAAAAACATCGTCTAGTACTTGAAAGTTTCTTTCTTTTCTAGAATGTATTAATTGGCGGAATGATTCATGGAAAACAGAAGGTCCTTCTATGAAATTGAGAAAGAAAGTGATCTTTCCGCTGTCTGCCTTTCATGGCAATGGCCCGATCGGCTCCATTTATCATCCATATAATTCATATGCTATGTACATTGTAGATGAGGAATATCAGCAAAGCAGAAGAATCAAGATCCATACTGTTGTAGGAAGATGATATATGTATGGAGGGAGGGGGCTTTTATAAATTGTATATCCCTGGAAATATCACGTTTTTCCGCTTTTCATTGATCCGATCGCTTTACGATCCGTCTCTTCATTTTTACTCTGAAAGCAGTTTTATCACTAAGTGATTTTACCATCCTGTTGTTTGTCTGATTTGATGGGTGTTTCGCTGCCGAGATCACTCAATCGTGAAATTCTAGATGCCATTTGATGGCTGTTTTTTGCTATGATCAGTATCAAGCAGCTGTATTGTTTGTTATGATTCTGAAGCCCCAGTGCTGTATTATAGGCCCGTCCTCATCAGCTCGAGTTTGCAAAATAACCCGCTATATTCAGCCTCGGGATATTATCCCAACGCTTGTAATTACGTCATCACCAGACCGATACGCTCACCACAAACTAGCTCGGATGGGCGCAAATTAGCCTGCCATTTCCCAAATAGCGGGATATTTTGGAAACAAGACCAAGATTTCTCAGATATTTTCTCCACCAAATATCCTGCTAATTGCAACTGCGGGCTGATGAAGAAGCAAATTAACTGGTTAATTTGCGATCGGTACAGTTAACATAGCGGGTTGTTTGGCAAACTCGAGCTGATGAGGACAGGCCTAATGTGAATTCAATATATACGTACAGCCTCCATATTATGGAATGCTTTATGATCAATGTTACATTTATACATGTATCTAGAGCATGATGAATTGAAGGTTAGGGGTGGGGGAGGTGTATAGCTGGATATATCAACTAGAATAAGGTTGGAAGCTCTGCTGACGGATCGATTCTTCATGTTAGATTTCATTGTCCATTTTTGTGATGAAAAAAAATCCCCCCATATTATGAAGACACATTGCATAGATTAAGGCCTTGATCGATAAGGCAATATTTTTGTACAGTCAACACCCCCTCCTTCTTTATAAGACAGATACATTTTTTTGTTTTTGATATTACTTTGAATGATGACACAGGTGATTTAAACATGCTTTTAACATTGAAAATGATTTGTATTGTATTGTATTTATCAAACTTCATTGATGTACATCAAAATTCTGTTTATAAACAAATTTAATCAATAGACCAGTTCACGGTTAGCACATCTCTGCAATGACCCCGAATATCCACAGATCTTCAAAACATGAAGAGGTCCCACTTTGTACATTTTGAAATAATCACTCCTACAGCGATGCAGGTGCTACATAAATAGCCTTTGTTTCCCCTTTTCAAAGAATATTTGCACCTGTAATTCTGCCTGTGTATCATGGAATGCACTGCTTGTTCATTAATGAATAATGATTACATAACTTTCATGAGCACGTATCCAGTATTTCGTCTCAGTGTATTATACAATTTGTTCTGCAATGACCTTTATCTGCTCATGCTCAGACTGCAACCGTGAACTGGCTTATTACAATGCAACGTAACAAATCAATATTCTGTTTGGAAACATATCATATAAATCAATTTATGTCTCCCATGTGAATTGTATTTTAATTTTTTCATCCTAAACAACCATTTAAGTTATAATGATGATAATTTCTCTCTTTTGTTTTGTTTTTGCCTGCAGAGTCTCTCCTACCACTGTAAACGATGTGCAATAGTTTCCAGCTCTTAATTTTTTCATCCTAAACAACCATTTAAGTTATAATGATGATAATTTCTCTCTTTTGTTTTGTTTTTGCCTGCAGAGTCTCTCCTACCACTGTAAACGATGTGCAATAGTTTCCAGCTCCGGGCAGCTACTAGGGCGAGGAGCGGGCCCCGAAATCGATAGCAACGAATGTGTGATTCGCATGAACGATGCGCCCACCAGGGGCTTTGAACACGATGTAGGAACAAAGACTTCAGTCCGAGTCATCGGGCACAGAAACCTGGGGCGCGTGTTCGCAAACCAGAATGATCTGCAAGATAGGATGTTTTCGAACCGGTCGACGGAGAAGGTTTTTGTGCACTGGTCGTACCTGACGGATATTGACGCCGACAAGGTGGAGGAATACGCCCTTGTATTGAAACTCATGGAGAAATACCCCAAAGTGGACTTTGTGATGTTCACGCCACAAAAAATGAAATTCGCCGAAAAGCTCTTCCATCATGAAACAGAATTAACAAGGTAACGTATATTAGTGTTGTTTATTGTTATATCTTAGAAGTGAATGTTTTTAGGGCTTAAAAAAAACTTCTTAAAAACACAATCCATCCTCCCAAAAAATTGAAGTATTCACTATTGACAATAACAATACATTTTTTGAACATTTCATTTTTTACTTGTCCACATATTTAGTTGTGCTGCACATTCCATGATGACATAATCATTACAAATGGGGCAGATTGTAAAGGGGAACAAACAGGCTTTTCAATGATACCAACATCAAATATGATTATATAGTATTATAAGATAATGACATGGATCCTAATTAAATGATTAGTTGAAAGCGTACACGTAAACAGTCCAAACACCCTTGGCTACCGCCTCGGGTGTGTTAGACTGTTCCAAAGGTACCTTGTGTGGGTAATTCTTATTAATGCCCTCACTGATGTGTATTATTTGTATAACAGGAGATCCCAATGTAACAAATGATGGTAATTAATCACAGAGTGTAGGTCACATGTATTGACGTGTCTTCAAGAAAATCACATTATATCGGTGATTAGTGAGGTGGAGTTTTAGTTTGTATGGCCAGACAGCAGCACTATCAATAAGCAGTCTTACCCATCATCAGTATAGACAACATGGGGCTGTTTCTCGAAACCGTCATAAGTCCAACTTCTTGGACATCCCATGGAAAAGTTATAGAATGAAGACATGTTTCTATGGGATATCCACGAACTTAGTCTCATGACGGTTTCAAGAAACTGGCCAATGGACTACATTATGTTCATCACAAACAGTAGGACTGTATTGGCAAGTGGTCTGGTTATGATTTGATTTGTCCAAATTCTTATTTCTTGAAAATGTGAAATATCAAAGCTTATTTCTAGAAGTATTCAATAAAGGCCCTAATTCAACCAGTCCACCTTAGTTTCATTCTTAAGTTACAAAAAAACATCAAATTTACAAGGGGTAGCAATAATTTAGTTGTTGACTGTATTTGTATCTTCCGAGTACATTTACAATGTAGTCCCTCATATTATCTTTCTGGTTGTTTGCTGTGGGTCAACCCAGAACAAGGTCGAGAGATGATTAGAAGCGTGTATGATTTATAATGCACGATGGGCACTGAAGACATCTTAAAAGGTCACATCCGACCTCATTCATCAAACATAGATACGGTACTAGATAGCATCTAGTTCCCTGTTTGTATTTAGTATCTGCCCTTGTCCCCAATGTTCCGAACTCAACCTGAAGTGTTAGGTTTATGATAACTCTGTAATTATTTAGATACTCACAAAGACGACTCCTCCCTCCCCCAGCCATAACTACCCCCTAGGACACCCCCCCCCCCAATACATGTGCATATAAGTAAGAAGAGGGATGTAATTATGTTGGGGGGGGGGGGGGAGGGATGCAACACCATTTTGAGGAAATCTATTAATAGTGCTCATGTAATCCATTTTCAGGAAATCTATTAATAGTACTCATGTAATTCTGGGCCACGTGATCACGTTGCGATCCTGCCAGCACATCATTAATTGTAGCAAAACTACATGTACATGTACACTGTGCATTTGTATGTGGGTTGGAAACTGAAGAATTTTTGAACAAATATGTTTAAACTCTGCTCCCACTCCCGCGCTTGTAGACATTCGTATTTTGTGAATTTTTCTTTGGAACTCTATACTTGCTTTATGTTAATTGCCATCTTGTCATGAATAAATCATTCATGAGGGTATGAAATTGGAACATGAGTTATCTGGTATACGTGCAGGTGCTACAATCATGACAAGCCAAATAAAAAATAAAAATATTTTCTTTATGATAATCTAGTGTGGGACAAAGGTCGCCATCGACTGTTGAACATCGTATTTGTGGTAGGATCAATTGAGCAGTTCCAACAAATTTGTGCAATCACTTCAGACTCAAACAATATTGAATTATTGATAATATGCTGGCTGATATTGATAATAACTAATTAATAGAGTCAAACGTAGATTACGAAAAAAGCTAACGTAGCCATCGATATGTAGGTCTTAAAAAAAGTAATGCCTTCATGATTTGTAATCATGAACGCATTGCTATTTGTAAGAGCTACGTTACCTCTGTTATAATCATGAACGCAATACTAATTTATGTTTGACTCTGTTAGTCAGTCATTATCAGCCAGCATATTATAATCATGAATTATAAGGTAATGTAGCTCTTAAAAATAGTAATGCGTTCATGATTATTTAAGAGGTGTAAGTCACGTAATGTAGCTCCTAAAAATAATAATGTGTTCTCGTGATTATTAAAGAGGTAAGTCAGGTAACGTAGCTCTTAAAAATAGTATTGTGTTCATGATTACTATTTCCATTTTTAAGACCTACGTTACGTGGTTACCTCTTTATGTGATTTACGTTTTACTCTGTTAATCAGTTATTATTATCAGCCAGCATATTATAACTATGAACTATTAAGGTAACGCAGCTCTTAAAAATAGTAATGCGTTCATGATTATAAATAAAAATTATGTCAGGCATGTTGATTCATCATCTGAATTTCATGCTTGTACTAAGGGCTTTGATTCATATTCTATTTTAGGAAATGTTCTCATCAGACAATTTAATGATATTGATTTTGATTTCAAGATTTATAATTCATGAGGGTTTTTTCCATTTGCCGTTTTATAGCAAAGACTAAAAGAAATCATGTTGAATCCATACATATACATGTACCTTGTTTAACCTTCATGTGTCCATGGAACCTGAATCTTTAATCATAAAGTCTGTACATGCACATGTGTATTACATCAGGAGGGAAAAAAGTCGCTGTATCATAACATTGACCATGAAGTGTTTTATAACAGATACAAGGTGTGATAAAGGAACGATATTCAATACATGTAACCTTGATGCGCTTAGCCAGTGGGAACCAAATCTGGTACAGTATTTATTCTGATGAGCTTTAGATCACAATGCCAATCATGAAGATTGCTCTGAAATGGTTATATTGTCCATTATATGTACATTAGGGGTAATTTACGCGAACCATGGATGTACCATGGAGGTATAGACGCCCCATGGATGTACCCCATCGTTCATGTACATGTAATTGTCATTTGTTTAAAGCAAGAAGGTTTTTATATTATAGCTCTGTAGTAAAGGATAGAGTATAGGCATGGACCTACTTCGTAGTAGATACTTCGTAGTAGGTCCATGGTATAGGGTACATTACATGAGCAATGGATGTACCATGGAGGTATAGATGCCCCATGGATGTACTCTGTGGTCCATACTTGTACTGTATCTGTTTAGAGCCAGAAGGTGGTTATAATAGCTCTGTAGTATCAAAAGGATATTATTTGTATAGGGTACATTACATGAACCATGGATGTGTACCATGGAGATACATGTATACATGTAGATGCCCCATGGATGTACGCCCGCCCCCCCCCCCCCACTCAGTGTTATTTAGGGTACGCATATGCTTGTTCCCTCTTTTTGAAAGCACCCCCTATCTGAGGACTGCCAACATTTCCGAACCCCCCTTACGGAGGCTTTTTGCAGGCTTTTCCTGCCTTGGAGACTCCCCTAAATCAGGAAAAATGCTCAATGTACCCCCCTAAATTTGGAATAATTTCTCAGGAGTCCAAAAAGATGAGAGAGAAAAAAAAAAAAAAACACCCCCTTTTTAAAGAAATCTCCGGGTGAAAAGTCAAATACACCCCTTTTTTTTACAATGCTTTGGCCGGACTTTGTCGCACGAAAAGTACCCTTTTACCGGACATTTTGGTAACACTCATGTGGTCATTCCGACCTCTGAGTGGGGGGGCCGGGGATGTACGGTAGTCCATCGTCCATACTTGTACTGTCATCTGTGTAGAGCCAGCAGGTTTTTACGAATAGCTCTGCAGCGAAGGAAATGATTTATGCTCTCAGCTGACACTATATACACAAAGGCATGTGATTGACCACAAGCACTCTCATTACTTCCTATATACCCAATAAACATCACTCCTACGGTTTTGTAAGGCTAATTTGTGTCCTGTGAAACTAAAGGAAACCACTTCCAAGGCGTAAACGACCGTTAAGGGAAGGATGGTGTCACTTTGTGTGACGCATTGCATGTGCTTTAGAAGGGCATTTATTGCTCTAGGACAAAAGGGACATGTACTTGGTCATCCAAATTTGACGACCTGAAATTGTCCAGCTCTGACAATGCCTGAAATTATTCAGGTTCGACGATACACGAAATATTTCAGGTTGGACTGATGCTTGAAAGTATTTAGGTTTGCTTAAGGCTCAAAATATTTACATACATGGAAATGCCTAAAATATTTACATACATGGAAATGCCTGAAATATTTACACGATCAAACATCTTTTATTTTGACTGTGTATTACGTTTGTTAACTCTCAACTGCTGGACAAATATCTATTGGGGTTTGATTGGCATGATGAGGGTTAACGTCAATATGATGTCTACTTTTTCCATCAACTAAAGTTGTTTTGAATAATAATGAACATGTACCTTTCTGTAACATATTTGATGCCTACATGCACTCTCGTTAATACCAAACATAGTCATTTATACTGTTAAAGCTAAAGCCAGTTATGGTCATGCGATTGCATTGTGAAAGAAACGTTGTGAAATCGATCAGAAAAGGTTGATCATCTAGCATATAAGTATTGGTGTGTATTGCAAGGTTCTGGAATCATCAAAATGATAAGAAATTTGGCCCAGTATTTGTAAAGTTACAAGCATGTTACACAGAAAGATGTATATGGGACTATACGCACACGTGCGCGACACGTGCGTTTATATATCTCTCACAGACCATAGATAAACTAATTTACCAAATATATCAATTAGTAGGCGGTTTCCCTGCAAATTTTTTATCATCATGTGTTAGTCAAAACATATTCTTTCACATGATTGGTAATAAGAGCTTCCACTTAATTTTTTGAAATTGGGGCGTTTCCAATACTGGTCTTTACCTTTAAGGTTTTATTTATTCTTTGTGGAGAAGTTGTGCATAAAGAAGGAATTTACACATATGTGGGGGAAAACAGGATATGAAATGTTTAATCACTGATCTCACTTTGTCCTGGTAGTGTCATTTAAAACATAACCCAGACATAAAAGCAGGCCATGGCTTAGGTTTCATCACAAAAATGCAACATCACTTCAGACATTTTTAGGTACCTCATTCAAAGGGTGGATATTCTAATGTTATTACATTGTGCTATTATGCAGGTACATGTACAGTGTACATTGTACTTTTCTTTTTTTAGAAATGATTCCAAGTACCAGTAGCTCAGAAGCTGTATGTACTACCTAATATTGTGTGCAATGGATATTATAATTAATATCAACTTATTATATGTGATCAGTTTATGAGCGACAGTCTCTAGTGTGTTCTTGCCAGTGTACACACGTCCATGTTGACGCTGTGTCATGTGATGTTTATGCGATCGGAGATATTCAATATGATCATGTGATGTGTACATTTAAAATCTAATCATCAAATATCGGTAATGACCGAACTAGCAGTATAGGCCCAAACATTCCTGCTCATAATTTCATAGCATAGAAACGTGAGTGTCATCTCAAATTGCATTCACTCCGATAGGATGCGCAAATATTGACGTATTGGTGAAATCTTTGATATTTGCCAATGGAATTAATAATGATAATAATATGGATTTATATAGCGCTTTATATGTAATGCCCTCTCTATAAAGTGCATTACAGATGCAATTACCTCGGTCATTGGATTCTTTTGTGCACAATGTGCACCATCTCCACTCCCTGGGGTGTATTCTTACCATATGGTTACTATGAGGGTAGCAGATTATTTACACAATGGTTTTCGTCATCCTCTCCTGCGTATGGAGTGGCAAATGTAGAGTAATGACATTAGTGCCATGTTATCAGTTTTCATCAACCAGCAATTTCTGAAAACGTTGCCAATCAATGTTGGTGCATGGCCAATTTAGATAAAAATGCTGGCCTGAAAAACAACATTAAATCGTTTGAATATTAAACAGCGGAAAGCAATGAAAAGAAATAAATAACATGCTATTTGGACACTAGCCAGCAGTTAGTATAGAGGATAAATTACATTTAAGTTATGAAAACAGATGTTTCTGTGAGATAAAACACTGTAATTGGATGAATTAAAGGTAACTTTCAGCTGTGGTAGTGACAGAATGAATAAAAACTTACTCTGAATATTCAAGACTACAAATAAATTACATTTTCTGATATATTTTGGTATTACATGTAAATGTATTTTAATGTGATTTTGAGCAAAGAAAACATGGAAACGAAGCTAGTAGTCCTGCCAATGTTTGTAACACTTGATCTATATATGCAAATGAAAATTGTTTCCATTTCTTTTCATTCTTTTTTCTTCTTCAAGATGCTTATTCTCATTACAAGGATGACAATGAGTTTTAAAAGATATCAAGTATGATCTGTGCCACAAAAAAAAAATTGTTTTTAGTAAGTGACATGTATCATGTTTTCATTGTTTTGTACTTTATCTGTTACAGGAGACAAGCGAGAACGTGGTTATCGACAGGGTGGTATACAATGTTGCTTGCCATGGATGTGTGTGATGAAATCAACGTCTATGGTATGGTCAGCGAGGATTATTGCAAGTAAGTATGATCAATACGACTAACATTAAAGTTTGACCCATTGCCTGTACTGAGGAAGTGGGCAATTATTCGGTATTGAGAGATGCAATCTGACAAACACGAAAAACTTTGTGCAGCTTCCTCTCTGAAGAATCTTTTAGCTACTCCACCATCCAGCTTCTCCGCAAATAAAATGAAACGTCAAATAGAGAAACCAATGTTTGAGCATCGTTTCAACCAAATAATCGACAAAGAATTAGCCCCTCCACAAATAAATACGAAACGTCAAATAGAGAAACGCACGTTTGAGCAAATTTTTCGAACAAATAATTGACAAAGAATCAGGATCTCGATGTAGTCTGAACGTCCAACTGGGCGGGGCTTATCGTTAGCACGCACTGATGGCTGGCTAGCTTTCATGTCAGTTGACCTCTTAAAAATTAGTTCTTTATACAATATTTCTTTATGAGATTAAGTTATCTAGGCTGTACACCCCTTTCACCCTATGATAATTCCTTATACCGGGTACAACATTTCTTGACAGATTTTCGTTTAAATTTGCTGTAGTCTGAACAGTCTAAAAATACATGTACAGTGTGGACAGGCTGACCCTACTTGTCATTTACCTATGTATGATGCTTTTAAATATCTGAACACATTGTCTTGACTTGATCGAGCACAGATGTTTTATCACGCTGAATGATCTGTTTGTGCAGCTTGGAATTTGCACCAATATTCTTGTGTCAATACGTAAACATACTAAGCATGTAATTCTGCAGTGTAGCTGCTTCATGTGGAATAGAAATACATGTACATGTAGCATTATTACTTTTTAAGAAATGGCGTGCTTACCGATGCGCGAGGCATTACAGTTATCAAGCTGAAAGAAATTCACATACTTTGACAAATCACTCTCTAGATCTTCACTCTCTGTCTCTCCCTTTTCTCCAACTTTCTCTCTCTCTTTTCTCCAACTTTCTCTCATATTCTCTCCCTCGTTCTCCTTCCCCTCCCCTCCCCTCTACCTCTCTCCTCTCTCTCCTCTCCTCTCCTCTCCTCTCCTCTCCTCTCCTCTCCTCTCCTCTCCTCTCCTCTCCTCTCCTCACCTCACCTCTCCTCTCCTCTCCTCTCCTCTCCTCTCCTCTCCTCTTCTCCCTCCCTCTCCCTCTCTCTCTCTCTCCTCCCCCTCTCCCTCTCTCTCTCCTCCCCCTCTCCCTCTCTCTCTCTCTCTCTCTCTCTCTATCTCATTATCTCCTGCACATTTATCTCTTTTCTCAGTATCGATGCATGCATTAATATTATCATTACGTTGTCCTATGGTTGATTAAGTTCTCTCACACTACCATGAATGCATACATTACATTTACAAATGAGATAACGCACAAAGAGCTAGATAGAGCCTAGCAAGGACCAACCCAGTAATGAAATTGTTTGTAGAATTTCATATGTTCATGTGATAAGGCTGTAGGCAGAATTCAGTCCTCAGGATTATATGTACAAGTACATGTATGTGTAAAAAGCTGTAAAGATCACGTAGAACATATTGGCAAGGAAATCCAGGTACCGGTACATGATATTCACGCAACATGTTATTTCTTCTTGGAAAGTCATAAATTTGTTTTTTTTATGGCATTAAATCAATCCCATTTTGATATTTTGTAGAATACTTGATACATTTATTTTAGATGATGTGTAGGGGGGGGGGGGGGCTAGGCTGAAGTATTTTGTTCTACTAAAGAATGATAATGTACATGTAGCCTGACTAAAGGACATTAATACGAATTACAAAATTTGTAAAGAAATGTATAAAGAATCATCCTAATATGAAAGGAAAATACCATACAGACTAGAAAACAACATCTTGTACACACGTATTAAAGAAACTAATTTCTGCCGAGGTCAGTCGCCGTGAAAGGTGGCCAATCATTAGTGCGCACTCAGGGAAAGCCCCACCCAGTAATGCGATTTTTGTCCGATATAACATTCAGACTAGATCAGGGCTTTGATTCTTCGTCGAGTTTTCGTTGTAAAAGATGTTCTGTATGACGTTTCGTTATGCAATGTTCAGACTGGGATCAAATTAATTGCGTATGGTATGGCCGTACGATTCTTGTATAGCCATACATTCAAAACCTTATGGCCTGAAGCAAACATTGCATTAATTTGCACAGACACACACATCCTGTTTTGCTAAAACACATCTGCGAAAGAAAAACAAAATCTTGCATTATATTTCCCTTTCACGTTTAATACCACGCCAGCATGTAGGGAATACTGATCAGATTCATGAGACGAGCTGCTTTATAATTGCCTCTTATTTCTGTTCTCCATATTTTATTTATGACAAGTCTGGAGTTGGGGGATCTTGTTTCGCCGGAAAAAATAAAAAAATGCAGGTGTCACATGACTCAGCGCGGGAGATAAACCTGGGGAGTCGTGCCTTATCTCCGTTAAAAAGCGCAAGAGATCGTCTATTCAGAGCCAGGAGGGCATTGACTCAACATGTACGGTTAAAGTATATGTGTTGGCCTCCTTCTGGCTCCGAACAGACGTGATGATCGATGAGCAAGCAGTCCCTTGAGCAATTTTATTGTTATGAAGTTGGAGTAAATATTCATTGGAGTCGAAATGCTAATTACCGCTGAGGGTTTTTGTATAGGAGATATATATCGCCTGGTAGACCCTGACGATTCCCTTGGTAGGAGGTGTTGTTTATGGTTTAGTTCCCCTGCAGTAGTGTCACACTTGTGCTGTGCCGATGCAGATCGCGATATGATCTCATGTAATCTATCCCAGGTACTAGCATCTCATCGTTTGAGGGAAAAAAGAGCGTCAAATTTATAGCTTATACCCTGGATCAACCCATATCTGTCCTTGTTTGAAACTGGATATGATGTATCTTTTTTTTTTTCTTCAACATTAATTTTGACTCCTCTGCCTAGACAAATAGATCCGAGATTCAGATTGTTAGTTTTATTCCTCTGCCATCATATTTGATACGTCGTGTTGTCATCTATCTATTTATCCCAGGTAATAGCATATTATACCATGGATCAATCCATATCTGTCCACGTTTGAAACTGGAAATGATATATCTTTTTTTATTTCACATTAAATTTGACCCCTCTGCCTAGACAAATAGATCCGAGATTCAGATTGTTAGTTTTATTCCTCTGCCATCATATTTGATACGTCATGTTGCCATCTACATGTATCTGTTCATCCCAGGTAATAGCATATTATACCCTGGATCAATCATATCTGTCCACGTTTGAAACTGGAAATGATATATCCTTTTTCATTTCACATTAGATTTGACCCCTCAGCCCAGACAAATAGATCAGAGATTCAGATTGTTAGTTTTATTCCTCTGCCACCATTTTTTGATACATCATGTTGTCATCTATCTATTTATCCCAGGTAATAGCACTGGATTATACCCTGGATCAACCCATATCTGTCCTTGTTTGAAACTGGAAATGATATATCTTTTTTTATTTCACATTAACTTTGACCCCTCTGCCGAGACATATACGATAGATCAGAGATTCAGATTGTTAGTTTTATTCCTCTGCCACCATATTTGATACGTCATGTTACCATATTTTCTGTCTTGTTGCTCTACATATTGACCAAATTTATATAAAATCTGAGGGTAATGTTTTGAATTGAAAATGACAGCTCTGACAGAGAGAATTAGAACTACAAATATGACCCTTGGAAGTTCTTAGAGGATAATTGGTCGTAGACTGACAGTGATAGTTTATGGCTCAAAATAGATTAATAGTGTACCATCATTGAGTTGGATAGAGCGATATAAATGACAAGCTCCAGTGTTTGCTGATATTTATCTTGTGTGTACAGGCACGGTTAAATTGCTTTTGTAAGAGAGGGAGAGATTTATGAAGAGAATCTGACAAAGATGAGCAGAGAGAGGCAGAGATGGAGAGGGAGGGAGGGAGGGAGGGAGGGAGAAAGAAAGAATGAGAGAAAAGAAAGAATTATTGTTTTCCCACCCATTCAATTCCATGATAATTCTGTTTGTAAAAATGTGAACATGTTTTACATTCATTTCATTTGTACAATGTGATTCGTTAAATTGCCATGGGTTGTGAATAGTCCAAAAAATAGTCTTGGCAGCCATCTCTCTGTAAAGACAACCTGTCTGTAGTGGTCATCCATATTGCCACAACCTAGAAGGATATGTGTGTTGAAGAACCTGTTTAGAAAGGCTGCCTGTCTATCAACATTGGCCAGTTTTCCTGTTTCCTTTGAAACACAGACTTGACTTCATAACAATCTACATCAGCCAGAATTTCACTCATTCTTTTCCTCTTTTTATTTTTACTCCTCTTTAGGGAGCATCCCAATGAAAAGGTGCCTTACCACTACTACGACCCCTCCTCCAAGCCAGAGTGTACGTACTACCACACGAGCGAGGTCAGGCTGACGAGCGGTCATCTCTTCATCACAGAGAAAGCGGTCTTTGCCCGCTGGTCAAGCATCTACAACATCCACTTCCATTACCCGTACTGGGAACCGCGGCCGTACAGCGTCAGCGATACGCTTAGAACTCCTTTCCTCTTGCGCTACCATATAGCCAACAACAGACTCTTTGCAAAGTATCCCTTCTGGAAGCTCTACTTCCACTTTGCCGGAATATTTTACCCCCTGGTGCATTGATGCTGGGGGGCTATTGTAGATAGCGTATTTCTTGTCGTCATCGTCGCCGTCGTCATGTTCTTGTCGCTGTCATCGTATGGATTTTTTTTTCATCGTGACCGTGTTGTTAATGTTGCTTGTTTGGATGACGCTTGCATGCAGGAGTCATTTTTCGGACACGTCGATGGATGTGATATGAAGTGAATTTACATGATATTAATGGAAAGCAAGGGAAAGGAAAAGGAGGAAGGAAAGAAATGGAATGATGGAAAATAATAGAAGGAAGAATGCCTGGAAGCATACAATCAGCACAGTGAATATAAAGGTAGATGTTTCTTGCCAGAAAGAAAGATCTACCCATCCATCTAAAAGTTGCAATGATGGGTTCTCAAGAAACCAGGAGGACTTCATTCAAGTTGGATCTGCTTCGTTGTACAACCTAACGTCACATGATCTACACCCTGACCTGTGATTGGTGGAACACGGGAATCTCTTCGGCCCTTCCAGATCTCACCATGGCCTATTCAAAAAGCGTCAAAAATGCTACTTAACTCCTTCTACCGTCGTACATACACATGTAACATTCTCATTGCAGTGCTGGCTGTGACAGTCAATTATTGAAAGGGTTCCCTTGGTGATGCGATGATTAAAGTGGAGAGTTTGTGTTTACCGGTGTAATGCTTTTTTATAATGATTTACAACTGACATTTACAGCAGGATGGTGGCATATCTTGCAACACTCCAAGGTATACTTATGAAGGCTTGTTCAGATATATGGCCCGGTAAACTGCCGCAAGGAGGTTTTTTGTGTATAAAATGAAAGGCAACTGCGTGTAACAAGGACTTGAGCGTATTCACCGAGTCTGTTTGTTATGAAGCGTATAACACTTCACGTCATCGTTATTAAAAAAAGCTGTGGTTTTGCCGTGGCGTATCTGAACAAGCCTCAAAGGAGAACAAAAATTGTTCGAGCCGAATTTAACGTCTGTCCTCACAATCTCGACTGGAATATTGGTACCATATAAAAAGTATGTTTTTCATTTCGGACTCGTGTTTCTCATAATCATATTTGCAATCTTGCATTTCACTCCATGCTTCCTGAAATTGAGCCTCGTGAGAGAGCGAAATTGATATTCAGAAAGCAAACAACCTCTCCATTTATAAACTAGAAGTGTTTTGTAATTTTCTGCCGGCCGTTGTTTATTTAATAAGAAAGCATACCTGGCACAATCAATAGTGTAAACCAGGTAGACACATATATTGTTTCTTGTGTTTTTTTTATACCTCCAAATGAAAAACATGAAGAAATTGAGGAAAATGCTTCTTGTGGAATAATTGATAAAAATCATGCATAAATTTAAGAAACAAAGTGATCAATGCTCGTCATGATGATCGATTGTAATGATAGTAAGTTTGAAACACTTAATGAAATTGATAGGACAGGTGAGAAAGGCCATGGACCCGTTTCACAAACCTTTTTTCAATGACAAATGACAAAAATCAGTGACAAATCTGGTGATAACCAATCAGAAGCAAGGATTTCAGTAGTTTATAACAAAACCTGTCATTTGTCACTGATGACAAGTTTTGTGAAACGCCCCCCAGGAAGGGTACATGGAGGAATCAAGTTAAAGCCAGGAGAAAGGATATTTTTTTGTTATATACCTCCTGCAAGCAATGCAATGCTGGGCGTTGCTTATCTGTATTAAATATGTGTGTATCAGTATAGGGCTCTCTTTCCTTTGAATTGGCAATGAAGGCATCGTACCGAGACCTGAGTCAACTATTTCCTCTTTCTAGAAAGAAACCTTGTTTTTAAATTATCTAGCCAAGATGTGAATAATTAGGCATTCTAATTCAGAGTTGTACATTTGTTTGTCCCTCTGCAACGGGACAGCGAGTTTGAAATCAATGTTTCTGATTGATTTCTTGTTAGTGTCATGAGGGGGTGTAGGAGAGTGAGTCATAGATGCGAGCTAGTTAGTACAAGGTCCGACAAATCCTCGTCAGACGACGACGTGTCGATTAAATATAGAGTTGAGGTAAGGATATGTTATCAACAGCGATTTCTGATTAGACATATATCTACAAGCTCATGTGATGTTTATATAAGAGCTGAGTATTCATTCATTCAGTAGACCCCAGTCACATTGCCTACTTGTTCCCGAACCAACCAATTCATTGACCATGTGTCGTGATGTCATTTCCTGTGTGACGTGTTGTCGGTCTGGCGTTTGTCTCGTTTGGTGCGACTGAGGTGAAAGGCTGACCGAATGCCATACCTGCAAAATTTGAATGATGTTTAGGGTCATATTGTATCTTTTTCAATCAATCTTGTCATGAATATGGATATTGGGGTTTGGGCATTGATATTGGTGCCATGTCATTTAGATCTAAGATAACTAGACTACGATCCGTGGAAGAATTGTCTAAACGTACCCAGAATATTCACAAATTGTACAGCATATAAATTTATGTTTTTTATAATTGATTTTATTCGCATGGCTGAGGGGTTGTTTTTTAAAGGATACTTGAAAGAAAAAAAATCACATGGTTTGCAATTGAAGATCTCTAAACACCCAAGTATTAGTTACTCACAGTTTTTTTTCTTCTTTCGTTTTGATCAGGTGTGAAATCTTTCTCATTACAAAAGCTTTTTGAATGAATTTCAAATTTAGCCACAGAAATAAGTAATCAGAAGGATGGAAAAATTAATTCGGATATTGTTTGAAATAATCGGAACACCAAATTCCAAAATAATTATCAGTAGTTGACCTACTTTCCATTGCCTTTAAACTTTGATAAAAACCACAAAATCAATTTTGACAAGAAAAACAGCGCTTGTAAACATGCTAAAAAATATTTGTCTCTACTTTTGATGAAGGATTTTTTTTTTAAATCACAGAAATACAGATCAGGCTGTCAATTCAGTGTAAATTGGGAATGAATACGGTTTTAGAAACAGCTGATGGATAAATCATATGTGAGGCTGGAGTTCTATGAAATATTGATTTACTCAGACCAACCATACTCTCCTATTTATCTCCTTTCATTTGAAAAAAAAATGTGCTTGTATTCATTTTACTTTTGTTTCTGTCCTTTATAGACAGAATATTTAAATTATGAACTTTTTTTGCTTGCTCTTTTGCATTAAATGTTGTCTTTGTTTACCTCTTCTCAAACATTTTTTTGTACCCATTTTAACATTTCACCCTTGTCTATTCCCTTGAAGTCAATAAGGATTTGATCATTCAAAGGTACTTGCCTGCATATTTATTTCCCAATGAAATTTGATCATATTGTCAAAAGAAAATTGGCTTGGAATATCTTAAAAGGATGTATATCGTTGATCAGAGATTTGTTGTTGTTGTGAATATGACAGATATGCCCGTTGCGATATGCACTGATTATTTATATGTAAATGAATAGAGTAGATTACAACTATCTAAGCTTTAACGAAAACATGTACATGTATTTCATTGTAGAATTAGTAAGTGGTACAGAGCCAGTTTGATGTCATATAACATCATTATTCATTAAATCATTTGTGATCAGCTTTAAGCCTCAAGAGTGTATGAGCTCCATCAATTTGATGGCAAAATTTTACCTAAATTGTATTAATATGATGTGAAAGGGGATGACATTTAACACACACTTCTGCAAGGATTTCCACAAAATGTGTTTGAAGACGAATATTGATGAAATAATACAAAATTTTGGTTTTTCTGCGAAGAACAGTGAACCCAAATATGGCATTCTGTCATCAATATTCATCTTCAAACATTTGTTTTGAAAATCCTTGCAGAAGTGTGTGTTTAATGCAAAACCCTTTCACATCATTCAATTTAAGTTATTTTTTGCCAACAGATTTTGGGAAAATTTGGGGTAACAATTTGGAGGGGCTTTAGAGTTGCATACATGTACATGATCATTTGGCATTATTATCTTGGTCAATGCTTAATTATGGTCAAGAATCACGATATAATGTGGGACTGAAAAAGCACAATTGGACAGTGCATGTTCCAGGTCAATGATATATATATATATATTACACTATTACATAGGAGATAGTAAAGTTTAAAGTGTGTATACATTTAATTTGAACTACCGGCAAATGGGACGTTGGTCTAATTCATATTCTAGCTTGCAAAATATTTTTCACCAACTCTATATTGTGCAGGAGATAATCAGAGCTTTGAAGCGGGTATAATTTGAACCAACTGTCATCGCAAAGCATTGGGGGAGTTATTATTATCCATTTTCTACCTTACACAATTATTATGGACCCGCATTATTATTATTACACATGAGATGGTATTAAAAATGTGTGTAGTTTGAACCATGGGTCATATCTAAATATTTGGCGAGTTGGCCTCATTTAATTTCTGGCATAATATAAGGTATCTCGGCCTGACTGTTAAATTCTGCTAGCTTTAAGATCAAGACATTGGATGGACCTACCGAGGAAGCCATGATGGTTTCCAACAGGAAAGACTAGTGTATGTATAGTCATGAAAACCTCCCCGTCAATGATGCAGATAGCTCTCAGCCGATTTAACAATAACCATGGTAACGAGCTGCTGTTGCCCCAGGTGAAGAATAGAGTCATGTTGATTTCTGTGTCGGGCGATAGAGCACTCCCCCTGCGCTGCTTACTTATGTATTGTCCACAATGGCTGTCTGGCTGATGGTGACAACTGATAACCGGTATTAATTACATGTGCATGATGAAGTACACGTGGAGGTCAAATTATGATAATAGGAGCTCTTGAAGTAGGGTACTCGGTCAGGCTGATTCGTGGTCGCGGTGGAAAATTAAATACTTAACTTGCTACCTCTATTCCCCTGAATTGGATAGATTTTCTGAATAATTACTTGAAAAACTAGAGAAAGGGGTGAATTTAAATCATTGACCTCATCACTGGACATTAGTTACTATCATTACATTCTTAATCAAAATAATCCATCTTTTCTATGATTTTCATCAAATTTTAGGCAGTATTCTAGTGTGGTGTATATCAAATAGATTTTTTAATTTCCAGAATGGTGCAAGGCTTGCACTCTTCCGCTGACCTCTATCATGGCAGTTTAATCATTGTATTTTTAAGTTAATTCACATAGCATTTTGAATCACGAGTATGCAGCTTGGCATTATTCTAAAAGACTATTCTGTGGTTATTCTGTATTCATATCATATAACATCATGTGAGTACTGTCTTTCAGCATGCATGATACATGCAGGAGATCTACCAAAAAAAAAAAACACATTGTGAAGCTATCCCTTTCTAGATACTGTACACCATCTTAGCACAAGGTGGCGCTGTTGCACTTGTCCCCAAATGATTTTTGTTTTCCTGCTGTACATTGAAGAAACTGCATTGTTAAACCATCTGTGAATGCTTGACAGATACAACATAATCTACTTAGATTCAGGTGGGTGCTATTTCATGTTTAAAAAAATAAAATAAAGCACTTGCAGTATTATTGTTCTTTGGCTCTTAGCATAAGCCATTATCAATCAATTCAATGAACCTTTGCCTTGTATGTCATATACCTTGTGTCCCCTGGGACCTGTTGCATAAAATTTACCATGGATGGTAACTCTGCCATCAATGGTAACTACCATGGTAACATTGCTCAACAGCCAATCAAAATCAAGTATTCCATGGAAGTCATCATTGTTGACAAAGTAACCATCAGTGATAAGTTTTATGCAACGGGACTCCAGATCTTATTATTATTATACCATTCTTATTGATTTCTTCTTGTCTTTGTTTTGTTTTGCACATTTATCATCCATATAATCACTTACCTATAAAACACTTGGGAGTAGTCATATATGTAATGAAAAATGTACTAGATTAGCGACGTTATTTGGACTACATTCCGCCCTATATCTATTTATTGTGTTATTAATTTTACTACTGGTACTTGTTATTCTTCTATTTATGTGATGTTTACCCCGCATGCTGAAAGTACATATTCGTGTCAACATATTATAGATACCGGTACTCTAAAATTGGCATCATTGAGTCTTGTATGCATGTTGTAGCCTACTGGTAGGGAGCTTGTAGAAGTGTTGCACTTTTATATAAGGTGGATACATTGAAATAATATGTGAAAGTCCTCGTTATTTCTGAAATAATATCAGCATTCATATTATGATGTGCTTTTGCCATCCAGTTTGTATATTATTGAGGCTCGCCAATCACGTGATTACCACAAGTATGAAAGGTAAGGAAGAAGAAAATATATTAATCTGTGACTTATTTTGTCACAACTTCTGCCTATGATGGTCCAAAGATTGTCCGTGTGTGCGCTGGAGACTATGACATGATGCACTGTAGGTTTAGACATAAATCATTGATTATTTGTAGTGATAGTTATTTACTATTGCATAAATCATTGATTATTTGTAGTGATAGTTATTAACTATTGCATAAATCATTGATTATTTGTAGTGATAGTTAGTTACTATTGCATAAATCATTGATTATTTGTAGTGATAGTTATTTACTATTGCATAAATCATTGATTATTTGTAGTGATAGTTATTTACTATTGCACTCTCTCTTTTGTTGTTGTTGTTTGCCTATTCTTTTTTCCTGTGGGGGAGTCTGAAGGCGAAGGAAAAGTGAATATACCGGTACTAAAGATGTTTGTTTAGGAGATCTCTGTGTTTCTATAATTATATCATTGTTATATTGGTTACAACTTCCTTTGAGTCAAGTTATTTGATTTCAATTCAAATTATGTCTTTTTGAAATTCTTGACCTTTTTTATCATTTTGCGTGTCATTATTGTATTGTTTGTCTGGAAGATTTTTACGAACTGTTTTCATGAAATTAGAAAAATTAAGGTTTTGAGTATGGGATACCGAAATCGCAAAATTTGGGTTTTGAGTATGGGAAACCTCGATCATGTTTTCTTGATTATGCCTTCATTCGATTTGAGAATTAAGTTTTATATATTTAATTTCACAAAAGGGCGTAAGAGTATGAGTAACATACTTACAAGTCGTGTTTGGTTGAAAAATAGTATCTCGCACTGATAAGTTATTTTAATTGGATAATTTCCTCATAATTAACAAGAGTTATGGTCATGCAGTGGAATGCCTTCTGATACTCATCTTGTAGGTTTTTTTCAAAAGTAAAATTCTTGTTGTTACAATTTCTCCGGTCTGTGATAACCATTATTTAATTTGAGTTGAACAGATGCTGCCAATTTGATAGCATTGGATTGCCACAATTCATTTATTTAACTTTTTTTTAAATGCAGTCTTTTGGATAAATGTATACCTTGATTTTGGGAATGAATTTTTCTCAAATGAGATACATGAAACAAAGCTGTTCATTGACATATACTAGTATCAAATCTTCATATATGGTACTACTGTATAGTGCTTGACTTAACATAGTACTACACGGTTTTAATTTATTGGAAGTTGGGGGGGGGGGGTAAAAGATATTGGGTATGTAGACGTGTTCTGGGTTCTGTCTTATAATTGATTGCCACTTGAATTCAATCAAAACTCTGTACTAAAGAGATGAAGGTTACTTGGTTTGCAATTGATTGGAGGTCTTGTATTCAATCTAGAGTCATTAATTGCAGCTCTTTTATAAGACGAGGCCTCGCTTATCAATATCCAACCACACATCGCATAATTGCTTTGTATATTTATTAAAACTTACCTGCAGCAAGTTTAATTGGAGACATTCCTGTGAATAAATCTAGTGTGTGTTGTGCATGTGTTGATTCGGAAAGACAAGTTCTAATTCATGTTTTTTCTTGAATGCCTATTTAATATTTATGATACCCCACCTAAATACAACATTTGTACACATTTCCACTTTTCTATAGAAGTAAGCAATCTTGTTGAAGTGGTTTTAGTTAGTCTAAGATATCATTTCAGACTGTTGATTGATCATCATTATTTTGTGGTATTTGATTGGCAAGTGATCCTGTCAATTTTTGTGATGGTATGGTAACAAATAATCATGAATTCTTGGAAAGACTTCATGAACTCTGTGTAATTTCTTAAAGAGCTCCCTCTATCGCTCAGTGACAGAGATGTTGAGAATTGAGAATGGTGTATACTGTATAGATATCGATATCCATCTCGTGTATAATGTACATAATTCCTCCCTTTTTTTCTTCAAAGATGATGAGATTGTAATTGTGATTTTGAATTTCACGACAATGTGGGTCATGTGTGCATAAATTTGTTGGGTAAATTTTCTTCTTTTGTCTTTGTTTAAATTGGTCACGTACGGTATGTGCACCATTCGTTATTGCATATATGCCATTGCAAGATTAATAACGTGTCGGTGCTGTGGTCAGCAAATGTTTGTCTGTTTGGAAATTGAGCCATTGTTTTTTGTCCCTTTTCCTTGCTAACCTTTGAATTTCAAATTGATTTTTTTTTTTTTGCAATTTGTATATTTATGAACTGTACTTTTGAGCAGGCTGAAAATATTGCTAATTCGGACAAGAATCTTATAGTAGGCAGATTTTATTTATGATTGCTATTTAGAGGTTTTTTTTCTTTTTTTTAATGTGATGGTTATATTTTAGTTTCAGAAAGCATTGACTGCCATACTTGCTTTCTTGCTTTTTGGCAACAATTAAATAATAATTTCTTCTATCGACAATTGCAGAGACAGGATGAAGTATTACTTTTTTTTTTTAATGTGACTTATTTTTGTGATATTATGACTTCTGTCGTGCTGCTTTTTGTTCTGTATCTCACTCTTCGAAATTGTTCAAGCTATGTTTGACAGTTGCGTAACATTTCACGTCCACGACTGGTCGGTTTGCGAACAGTACCAGTGTCGACACACACACAATTCAAATTCAAACCATGCATTGTTGCTTTACACTTTCCTATGTAGCATTTTTAAGAAAGAAAGTTTGTAGTTATCGCAAAATGTACGATTGCACTTAGGCTAGTGGCCAAGGGAGCTACTTAATGGATGAATTTCCTTTTTTTTTTAAATTGAAGAAAAGCAGTGTTATCAATTTGATTGGTTGGAGTGGGAATATACTCAGCCATGATTTGAATAAAAAAAAGTATGTATCCTCAACTACGCCGTGTTTCTTGTCTTTCTTAATTAGTGTGTATAAATATTTATTCCAATAATGCTGAGATAGATAGATCATGGATGCTTTTGTATACATTTTTAAACAGGGATGTATTGGAGTTAGTTTGGAGAATGAGAGTTGTAAACTAGGGTGTGGGGGAGATTGAGGGCTCATATTTTTGTCGAGAGGGTGGGAAAATGGCGATATTACCCATATGTATCATAATTAAATTCTATTTCAGTAATGTTGAGAGATGGATCATGGATGCTTTCGTATAAATGTTGATACATGTATGTATTGGAGTGAGTCTTGAAAATGAGAGTTGTAGGCTAGCCTCCATTGACTTTCATTGAGGGAAGAGGCACATTATTATCAGTCCAGGATTGGGATGGGTGTGTGAGAGAGATTGAGGGTTTATATTTTCGGATGAGAGGGTAGGAAAATGGCGATATTACCCATATGTATCATAATTCAGTTTTATTTCGGTAATTTGGAGAGATGGATCATGAACGCATTTTTTTTTAAATGTTGATACACAGGTATGTGTGTATGTATTTGAGTCGAGAAGAGGCACTGTATTATTGGAGCATAGAAGTCTACTCTTAAAGATAAACTTGAGTCCTGGTAAAAAAAAAAAATGAATTCACACAGAATCTAACGAAACTTACACTGAATGTTCAAGATTACAAATAAATGTCATGTGCTGAACAATTTTGGAAGAAAATGTATACTGGCTGAGTAATGAGCATAGAAAGATAAGGAAATCAGGGTAGTACTAGCCCCGACACCATGTGTATTGTCCCATATACATATTTCTGTGTAAGTGATTGTTACTTTACCAAGACTCTGCCAAATTTATGATGATTTTGATGACTCCAGAACCTTGCATTACACACCATTACTTACATGCTATATGATCAACTTTTCTGATCCATTCCACACCTTTTCTTTCACAATGCAATCCTATTACCAGAACTCAAGTTTATCTTTAATGTGTAGAAAAGGGTGTAGAAAAGGAAAGAGAAATATACATGTATAATGACTACAATGGACAGGCACAAGATATTAGCCCTTCTCCAACGAATGTAGTATGTACACACTTTATGAATGATAAGGGCGGACTTTGCCCCCTTCTAATTATTTGCTCTGCCATAATTCAGAAATGATGAGGAAGATAACAAAACCTTTCTGTGTGTGGAGCGATTTCTGCATCTCGGACATGGACATACATGGCACTTCATGAACAAATGAAAATGGCATTACACTATAATAAATTGTTTGCATCACTTTTAACAATTTTATTGATAGAAAAATTAAAACATGATTTTACAAGTTACAAATACAAAGAAAACTCACAGGGACTACATCTACAGACTATCGATGAATAACACTTAGCTTTGGTCTTGCTTTCTAGCTTTAACATGGAGAGAACAAATGAATACATGTACTATATTTTATCTATATCTAGCTATCTGCTGTTTATACATGAATGTTATTCAGGAGAAAACATTTACATTACACGGTAGTAAGGCCATGTACTCATATTTCAGGGTTATACATGTAATATACAGTAAAAGAAGGCTATGGCACACATGGACCCAATATTTCACAAACTTCTTTTCTAAATGTCAATAGGGGTGGGTCATAAGTGAGTTGATATTCAACTGAAAAACTAAAACAAATAACAGGCAAAATATTAACATAAGAAGAGATATCATAACTACTTGTTTTCAAACTTGATTTGTAATCATTGTGCATTGAATATACTTTCACAATTTGTAAAACACTTATAACCAACTATACATGTACAGATACAAAGACTACATAAAATTACACAATCACATAAGTATTTGTAATCTTTGGTTATAAATCAATAGCTACCTGATTCATGCAGGGACTTGAATCATCTTGAAACTATATTTTCTCTTTTTAACATATATTGCGCTTACAAAATGTTTTAACATAAATATTTCAGTCATACTAAAATTATGCAAACAAGCAATTAAAAATAAAATGCTTATCAAAGCAAAATAATTTAGAGGGGAGAAGAACTCATCAGCATACCCGGAAAGGTTATTAAAGGTCATTAAGCATTTCTACAATTCAAGTTTGAGTATTAATACATGTATATTTTGTTACTATATTACTATATTTGACATTGGTATCGTTGAAAATCCTGTTTATTCGCCTTTACAATGATGCCCAATTTGTCATGATTATGTAATCATGGAATGTGCAGTGCACCTGAAAATGTGAATAAACGGGCTTTTCGATGATGACAGTGCTATTTAAAGAGAGATATCAACACTTAAACTTGAAAGGTAGAACCTTTTTGAGGAGTTTGTTATCCCTGTCCCCTTCTCTAATATCATGATTGTAAATCCAATCCAAGTTGTTATCTGGCCTCATGATTTGCTGTTCCCCTTACAATTTTCGTATATTTTGCATTAATAATATACTGCACCATTCTGTTGATGTTTTGTGAGATTAGAGTAAATAATTTGGAAGACTGATAGTAAGTCATGCATCCGACTATTCACAAACAACGCATTCTCGTACATGTAGAGTGCAGCGTAAGGTTACATTTAAGCACTTGATCGGTGAAGCAAATGAAATGAACAAACCAAAACAATCATTGTCACCTGCAATTATGTGGAAAACAGCTCTAGGACAAATTAAAGGTATGCAAATTTAAATTGTAACAATGGATTCTTTTAACCAAACCACTAGCAGTGAAAAAAAAATGCAGGTGCTTTATATGGGGAGCTGTAAAAATATTTTAAAATGTAAATGATAGTATGCATACCCGGTACATGCAATTGCATTTCTCTCTTTAAATCAAAGTTACAGCTTCTTGAATGGAATAATCATGTTTGCAAAGTTAGGTCATTTGAGTAAGAAGAGTAAATATACAAATTCTGAATGAGTGACTTGTACTGTTTCATATTCTGCACATGGACAATTAAATACCACCTTCAACAACAACAAATTGCACTAAAGTTTTCTATCATCATTTACAGTAGTCTAAATCCTTGTTGAAAGAATGACAATGAACTGTACACCATCCAACTTACTACTAGTATTCCATTTATGTATATTTTTCTACACTCCACGACCTACCCATGATGCCCGCTGCAAACTTGCCAGTTTCAAATGAAATATGGTACCAAAAAAACAGTTGGAAACACATTTTGCTTGCTACTGTTCTTTCACATAAAATGTAGAGTGTAGTAGAACTATATGTAAAAGGCACACATCAATAATCTCTCCCTGGGAAAATGTATGAAATATGAGAATAGAAAACAAATGTAGCTGGTATTGTTTAAAAGATCTCTGTATAATTTGTACCGTAAATGGATACTAACGTAGTACCTGTACATTATACATCAGATTAAAAATGCATAAGCATAGACCTCTAATACATATTCGACTGTACACAGAACATACCGTCGCTGTTTTCACGAAGTGACGGTAGTGAAAAAAAATTGCATTCACTTTGCGTTACGATTTTCTTCACTACCGCCACTTCATGAAAACAAGGACGATACATGGATGTACCATGAAATACAACCTTAATGCCCAATGGTATCACTTCATATTCCTTCTGTGCATGTATGATAGATCGTATAAAAGAGGTGGGTACATGCACATCATTTTGAAAGAGCAAGGAATTGCATTCAAAAGAACTTATAATATTTTCCTGAATTTTGCTAACATGCTGATGGCTTTGTACAGTATTTGTGAAAATAGGGGGACTTTTGTGATTGCGTACTCAGTCGGCCAAAATCGGTTTATATTTACAGCCCATATTGTACAAGCTTTTAGTACGCATGAGAGTGTCATATTTTGTGGGTGAAAATGTTCTTACAAGTATGCAAAAGGAGGGTCCTTTTCGACTCCGATAACAAATCATGATAGTGTGTTAGACCTGAGACAATGAATTGAGACCACCACGTCTTAAGGAATGAAATGTAATTGATCTGTGTAACAGAAACTACATGGCATTAAAAATACTAAATGTTCATCCGAGGTACAAAATGTTTCATCTACACATCAGGCAGCATTTTTTGTTCGAAAATAACGATTTCTCACTTTCAAATACAACATGATCTGTATCCCCACCCTCCCATTAAAAAACTATAATTCCTATTTCCTAGTTGGCAACATTAACTACAAACACTACTTGATGAAAACAAAGTGACGTTATATGGCACTTCAATGGAATTCAATATACATAATGCAATGAAGAAAAAAATTGTGTATTCAAACAAAATATCAATGGCAATAGCTACAATGGAATGTATAACAAAAAAGGGGTGGAATTTAAAACAATCACAGAGTTGTCATAAAGACTACCTACTATTAAAAAAAAAGAGATTATCCTGTTTAGAGCTGTTTGAAAGACTCAAGCTGTACTGTATCATATCAACAAGGCATTAAAGACCCCGTCGGTAGTGAAAAATTCAAAAGTTGAGATTATATATCAACGGAAAGCTCAGAAGCCATAGATTATTGACTATATGCTATTTTAGTCTGTCAGAGGAGTAACAGCTCTCTGAAAAATAGAAATCAAAAGATTTGACAATCGGAAGTTGTCAAACTTAAAACTCCCTATCAACTTAATGACATCATCTTATGTGGAGTACACATAACCTCAATGACTTTGCGTTAATAAAACACTTAAACACGTCTCATCACCCCAGCTATATGTACAGTATATAGGCGAGCCAATTGCATCCACACATTTTCTGATGTCACAGTATAACTGCAGTCAATTTGACCCCTTTTGACCTGTAATTTGGAGGGGTGCGGAAAATGAGGTTTTGATTTGCTTTTGTTCATTCAGCTTTCCATTGATAACATATAAAGTTGTATTTTCATCGGATAGGGTCTTTATATGACAACCCGACTACTTCAGACATTTACCATAATTCGGGTTAGTGCTACACATGTTCATGTATATTTTGAAGTGTGAGGAAAGCTCATCCACATTATGAATATACTTATTATTTGTTACTGTATATACTTATTGTAGAGTTTTAGTCACTTATGGTTTAATGCAGAATGAAAATATTTAAAGAAATTAACTCAATGTAATAAAAATTCAAGTTCATTCCATTTTGGTGAAAACAGCAATCTTCTTTCTTTTTTCTGTACCTGGTCTAGCATCACTACAATCTACTATACTGAATGTGAAGAACAAAATTAAACCAGGAATGGAAGAGAAAGTGTCACTATAAACTGCGTACGGTACACTAAACCTCTAACTACCGGTACTCAGTATTCCCAAGACTATGCAAATGTAATCAGGACTACTTCACTGCGAATCCAAGCACATGGGACCTGAACAAACGTGGACACTTGGCTATGTCCATCTTGGTGTATTGAACCTTGCTAAACCCGGCCCGGTCTACGGAAACATAGAAGGTGTTATTGATTTGGCAATGGGCGAGGGTGAAGACTACCGGGACCATCATCCTCTGCATGAAGTGCGTCCAGCTGTTCTTGTTGTGCGTCTCTGTGTGCTCCACGAAGTAGAATCGTCCTCCCTGAAAGATACACAAAATATGAAATCTTAGCAAGGCATTCCATGTATACACAAACATAATGTACAGACATGTTGGATGTCTGGACTCATCTTTTTCGAACAGGTAACAGGGGGGGGGGGGGGGGGGGAGGGCCAAGTTTAACATTTTTCAATAATTTATATTACATACAAATAGGTCTAGTCTAGGTGATTGACACAGCTGTATCCATTAAAAATTTTCAAACCATATGAACTGCAAAAAACATCAGTTTTCAAACAAGCTGGTTTGATTTTGGCCTTAGCTCTCCAAGACCATATTGGGGCAGGGAAAAAATAAGTGAGGGGGGCTGGGGGGGGGGGGGTCTGCAAAATCATCAACAAATAGTATGATGGGAGGTTGGTTGTCCAGACAGTCAGACACTTAACAAACATAGCCTTCTCTCTTGCCTTCTCATTAATAATAGTATACCATATATTCATAAAATAGCACTAACTAACCATCACAAATTTGTCTTTCACAATATTTTCCAACTTGTGTCTTAGAAAATAGAAGATTTATGAAATATTATATTGCTTGTAAACTTCTTCAAATTGCCGTTTTAACTGTCCGGACACACACTGTCTTGGTATACCAGCACAGACAATAACATAACATATGCTGTCTTGCCTGTCTAAAAGAAACCAGAGCTGAGGTAGACCTATAACACCAGTCACATATCATTTAACATTCCCTCTCACTGGTCCCTGACAAGCGCTCTGCAGGTCGTAAGTTGCAAGGAAACACGCCGGTACTTACGGGTTTGAGAATTCGGTGGATCTCGCTGACCACAGCATCAATGTCATCTACCGAACACATTGTGAGAGTACTAACGACGGCATCCTGACTTGAATCCTCGACATGCCCTTTTAAGTCTTCGGCTCCCATGGCCAAGAACTTTGAAATCTCCAGTGATGGATGTTTGGCAGCATTCTTGACGGCACTCTCCTCGAATCTTGAGTTCGGCTCGACGACAAGAAGGGATGTATTAGCTGGATACAAGGCGAAATTGGCCCCGGGTCCGCAGCCGATCTCCAAGGCGAAAAACCGCTGGTTGCTGTCCTTGCGCGTGGCTGCCAAGTCGGAGAAGAGTTTGTCTTTGTGCTCTTTGATTTCCAGATGGTGCTTTCTACTCACTATCGGGCAAATTTTAGCAAACACAATAGGATGGAGCTTCGAGAGGACATAATGCAGAATCCTCAAGACAATGAATACTCCAGCCAGGGGGACGATATAACGCTGGAAATAGTCGGACATTTTGGCATCGACGACCGCCATGTTGCTGATGCTAGTTTTTCCGTAGAGATCATAGTGTAGTGGGAGATCGAGACGCTAGCCCAGCCCAGTCCACGCCCACAACGCTAGTGTAATTGTTGTTCCATGCACTTCTGCATTGTCTGCGTTTAGTTTTTATTTCATTCTCAATAAAAACAAGATACAACACATACCAGAGTAATAGTAATACAAATCAATACATAAGAACAAAAACAAATTATGAGAATGAGGGTTCAACAAAAGAGAACAAATAGCTTATAAACAAGCAAGCCTAGCCTAGAACGTTTTCCACCGAGACTAATTCGGCTCACGGTCAAAACAAATAAACTTTGTTCGTAGAGATCAGTGTTTGTAACACGATCAGGGTCACCAAGTCGCAGTCCATCACAAAATGTTTAGTTTATGATTTATGAACTATAACTGGTGATCAAAATTAAACGAAATAAGAATTAAAAGGGGATGATGGGGGGGGGGGGGGATAACCTGCCGCACCGCATATTTCTATAGTGAAACTATTATGGCATAATTCTGTTCAGTATTCCCCGACTTATTCATATAGAGCATGGGGAAGCATGAGGGGCGGCAATCCGGAGAGAGCTAGGGAAGTGCCCGTGCCCACACACTTTTTCGAGTACCCATCAGCTCCTCTTTTAATATAGGAAAAGTGCCTTTTTCCCTTTATAATGAATGCCCCTTCTCCTAAGTGCCTCTTTTAACCTCTGATAAGAACCCTTTTCTAAAATAATATTATGTGCCCCTCTTCCTTTGTATAAATCCCCTTTTCCCTTAATTCTTATAAGTGGACCATCAGGTGCGAGAAGTGCCCCTTTTTACCTCTGATAAGTGCCCCTTTTACTTTGACATGCGCTCCTTTGTATAACAAGTGCTAGTTTCCCGTTCTCATAAATGCACCCTTTTCACCTTTGATACGTAGGGCCTATCCCTTTCAAATATGGCAGGTTCTCTTTGTTAATTTTGATGTATTTCCCCATAGATATACCCCATTCTTAAAATATATATATATCCCACTGTCGCTTACAAAATGTCAATCAAAAGAGCTATATCTAATTTTAAAGAATCGGAGCAGCTTTGTAGTTTTGAGTTTACCCTTTGAGGTGCTCTTTCTTTTTCCAGAAATTCCTTTTTTCTGCTGGTGCACCCCCACTTTCAAAGACACTCCGTCACCACTGGGGGTGTCACAGAAACTCACCCTTATTACAATTTAATCAGGACACATAAGTGAATAATTCTGAATAGTCAAGTATTATGATATTTATAGTAAAATTCAAATTTGTACCATGGGTCTAGAAGCTCTATCAAAAGTAACGATTAAAGTAAGAGCACATACAAAATTACAATGCATGGTCGAAGTCTGATCACATTTTCGCTTTCACCTTTCTAGCTGATAATTTGCATCATCGTGGAAAGATTAGCTTTAACTTATGAATACACAGTCATTTAATCTTCTTTGTCATATTCCCATATCATTCAGAAATCACTGGGATTGCATGCGCTTTTAATTCTGAAATAGAAAATATTTTTGTGTACGTTAAGTAGGCCTATACAATCATGTTAGCCTATTATCAAACCATGGTGACGTATACAGGGGCGGCTATCGGCGGGGAAAAACAGGAAAAATTTGCATGGGGGGGGGGGCAGTCCAGCCACCGGCCGGAAATTTCAAAAATCTGCAGCCAAAAATGGTATACAAAATATTGAAGATGTGTATAAAGGCTGCAACACATAATGTAGCTGGACTCTTAAGGTTTTCGAGAATGCATGGTTTATCTAGGACTATTCAAACGGATCCTCGCCAAGGTTAGTCGTGTAAAGTACAAGATCTGTACCTTTTTAGTTACTGTAATGCCCCCCCCCCCCCCGGGCCCCCGTCATGACAAGAATACGCTGCCCGTAATAATAATTGTTGAACATTATTTTCGTGGAAGGTCGTAACATTATGCAATTAATCGATACGTCTGTCTCGAGAAGCAATGGAGGTTACGTCATAAACTCACTCCGGTCTTTAGTTTCCTTTCTGCTCTTGTGGTGTTTATTATACCACTTGGATGATATACTGGTACCCGATGGACGCCGATATCTCCTTGGTTAGACCTATTTAATTTTATTTCGTTAATATCTTTTAAAATAATTATTGCAGCTGCTATTCTGAAAGTAATGTGAAGGCAGACAACTTCAATTTAATACGTGGTGAGACAGTCTGTAGGTCCAGGATTATGTAGAAAAAAGAGGGAAGGGCACAATAACAAGCGAATAAAATAAGGTCTGTGTATAGGCATACTTAATGAAGGTGGTGTAATGGTGAAATTCCAACCACTTCTACCCCGCTGCTCAATCTTTTCTACGTAACTGTACAAGCGAGGGGCAAAGGGGCCGACCTTCAGAAGACAAAAAAAAAATCGCATTTAAAACCAAAAATAATTATTCGTATTGTACATTTCCTTGCATATTTTTTTCATCCTGTAAACTTCCCCTTTTTTTAAATATTATTTTCTCTAAAATGAAATACATATTGTTCAAATCATTCTTAACAAAACTGGATACATTGTACATTAATAGTTTGGATTAAACATCAATTGTATAACATTATATACACTTAAAATATTGTATCAAACCATATTATGTTCATGAAAATCGTCACCGTTTTCACGAAGTGGCCTCAGTGGCCAAAATCGTTGAATTTTTTAATTTCGAGTTTTGACCGTTTTTGAGCAATGTATATAAATGTCTACAACTTCAGTAATTTTCAAAGTCTAATCTTGCTTAATTACGTCATACGTGACGTCACGAAACGTATCACAAGCGGTACAACTGGCAAACACCGTTTTCACGAAGTGGCCTCTTACGCGCAAATGTAGTCTGCTATTGATAATCGTACACGAACCGGCTCCGCGAAGCCTTTGTCACAGATGCCGGTGCTTCTGGCGGAATTGTTAGAGGAATCTGACAGCCCTAGGTAATTATTTTCACTTATTTTAAAACAATGTTATGCATCGTTCAATAATATCGTCTGTAGCAGTATAAACAAACTCATATTCTAAACGGATATCAAGTTACGAAATGGCGAGATAGGTCATTACAGTCCCACGCACTGTTTTCTGCGTGAGTTGTATTGTCGGTCTACTAGTATGCAGATCTAGTAGTAGTACGTAGTACTCGCCTACTACTACTAGTACTATCAACAGAGTGCTACTAAGTATTAAGTAACACAGTATCATAGATAAGCTTGAACATGTATAAGTGCAGGAGCAGTTACATGCAATAACAACAATGTCACGAGTCACAAGGCGAATTTGCTGAAGAGTGAAGCCCAGGCCAGATATCATTAATAATAATTTTACATAACTGATTAAGCAGTACCAGCCCAAGCCTCCAAGGCAAGGCCCAATTAGCCAAGGGCACATTTTGGTTAAAATTCAATGTCAATGTTGATATGACAATGCCAAATCATAAAATGGCAATTGCGACGTAGGAGTTGAGTCTAGGCTCGAGCGCGAGCCTAGAGTCTAGATCTAGTACGTTGTCGTTAGTACTTACGTACTCCTAGTACTACATGACCCCCTCGTAAGCTCTTTCCATGTTCATGTTATAAATACGAGACTGAGACTTGAATAGTAAAGCCAGGTATGCTTGAATGAATAAACAATTTTGTGCTTGCTAATAATTTAAAGGGAAATCCAATCATGAGAATTGAGATGAAGTGGCTTAATTTCAGCAAATGCAGAAAAATGAAGCAAATACATTTCATGTTTCTTCCCGGTTTTACCAGTAGAATAGCCGGCTGAGAGGACCATCACTAGCACTCCCAGTGGCTGATGTCTAAGTAGGAGTTTGACGTGGAGAGCTTTTAGCATGTTGTTGAGGTACTAATGGATGGGGGGGGGTCAACCTAGCATAGGCTGGAGCGGCTTCTTATACACTCGGCTTTATGCTCATAAACGCATGCCTGCTCTTAATTAATTTGCTTTAAAGACAAAGATAAAGCTGATGGTATGGGAAGATGCCACTACAAATTCCTCCTCTTTATTGTGCATGATAATTTCATTTTGCCACCAGAGTTGTGGTTCAGCTACTTAAGGTGTACCTTTTGCCTTGGACTTAGAGGATGACAGGCTTTTTGTTTTGTTGGGGGGGGGGAGGGGTTTGCTTATAATAATAGTACTACCGTAGTTGCTTCTGGTATAGCGCACATGTCCGTCACGTTGTGAGGGGGGGGGGGGAGTTAGCACTAATTTGGGTTGTTTCATCCCATGTTTGCAAGACTGAGACTTAATTATGCAAGGTCTTCTTAATTGCTTTAGATAATGGTGTGCTTGCTAATAAGTTAAAGGGATATCCAACCGTGAGATGAAGTGGCTTGTTTGAACAAATGCAGAAAAATTAAACAAATACTTTTCATATTTTTTCATAGTTTACCAGTAGAATAGACAGCTGGGATACGCAAGAGATGAGGGACCACTAGCACCCCCAGTGGTTGATGTCCACGTAGGAGTTTGTGCAGCTGATGTGGAGAGCTTTTAGCAAATTGACAAGGTATGTGTGGTAAGGAAATTAGCTCCAAAAGAAAAGTTATAGATTGGGAGTTGGGCTGGCGAGGGGGAGAGGTCAATCTTTAGCAAACAAATGAACTATTTTCATTTACATAACAATGATCCATGGACAAAACTATGCTGGGAAGTAATTTTCTAATGTGCGCAAAGTGGTGGGGGTGCTAGGAGGGCCCTCCAAAGATGACGGGTTCCCAAACACTCAATTTTTTTCATAAACGCATGACTGATCTTGCTTTGAAAGGTTTTAGGCAGTTGATGGTATTGTAAGGCATCAAACACAAGTTCCTCGCTCTTTAATGTGCGTGACAGACATTCATTTTGCCAACATGTCATGTTTGAGCTACTTATGGTGTATCAACTTACAAGATGACAGGCTTCATCTTATATTTTGTATTTTTCTTATTGTCTTTTTTTCATAGGGGGAAGGGGGTGAAGAAGGAGAGTTACACTAATTTGTGTTGTTTCATCACAGAAAAAATAAAATAATATGCATTAACCTGATGCCTGTAATTTTTTGAAGAGATGCGATTTTAAAATCATATCATCCCAGTATAGCTTCCTGTACGAGCTGTGTTGGGGTTTTCTGCATCCATCATGAGTTATCAAATATATTCTCCTTTTAACCCAGCATCTTCAACCTCTGCCGTTGAACTGATTGCTTTTCCAATACCATGGTTTGGAGGTCAGACCAAACGACTGACAGACCGACCGACTGAATAGCTAAGTCCCCTCAGTCATCAAAGGTAAGTTTGAACCTAATTTGTTACATTTTATATTGTTTATATATGAAATATTTTTATAATTTTGACTGGCTTTAATGGGAATATGAAACTATATTGCCCAAATATAACCATATTGGCCGGGTCGAAGACGAGGGCAATATGGTTATGTTGAGGGCAATATTGTCTCATATCAACCAAAATGTGAGCCAGTCAATGTTATTATTATCAATTATCCTCTTCTTATATTTCAAGTATCACTTATACATGTATCATGTACAAGTACCCAGATGTGAAACGTATGGTAATATGCTCTTATATTACCGCTGCTACATCACGCGTGTCTTTATGCGATAATTGCACCATAAATAATAATGAATGATATTATACGCTTGACTAACTTTGAATATTGATCCTTATTGAGTGGTCTTTCTGAAAGTTGATATAATAAAGTTTCTTTCAATCTGGCAGACAAGTACATGCAAGTGCATTCATTGTTACTTACTGGGTTTATAACATTCATCACAAATTTGCTGATAACCTGCAGATTTTATATCTTCTTTAGATATGAACATATCAATTCAATGATTGACAACAAACCCAGTAATACATATGGAACCCTATCATATCATCTTCAGTGGTTGATAAATAAGTATAGATGTCTGCTACATTTTTTATTGAAATGGAATACAATAGTACCATACAATTACAGACCATGGAGTATGCTGTCTCAATTTTGTAAACAATATACCAATCCTCCCAACCTAAAAGTGTTGAACACAGGAAAGCCATTCATATTTTTAAATAGGAGTTATACCACTCTGATTTCCTACCAGGAATTTAGTGCCACAATGTCACAAATTACATTCTAAGTGAATAAATGGTACAACAGTATTTATAACACAATTGCAAATCTGCTTTTCTACTCGGTGCATGCTTCGCTTTTTTTCTGTTAAAAGTAGACCTTAAATTCATATTCTGATTTTCATTTATAGTTACTGTATATTTCAAAATATCAATTTAGGACAGAGTAAAACCACTTTTTATTTAATACCCGTTTCTAGGTTTCATTCCTGTTTTATGAAATAAAATTACTATGTCCTCTCTACTTATCATTGAACAGAGTTATTGATAACTTGATTGTAACAATCTTTTGTCAATTACCTCTTAGGATGGACAAAAATACAGAAGTTATTGTTAGGTGGGATCGTGATGGAGAGATCAATTGTGGCAAGAAACGAGATCTTCGATATAACGGAAGGCTTAGGGTGGGTTCAAGAGTCACTATGAGCTAGATGGATGTGGACTGGACGGGGACTGCAATGCTGACAGGAGACTCTGACTCCGAATGGTCTCCATTTAGAGGTTTTGTGGTCTAGTGGATAAGTCGTTGGACTGTGGATCACAGGATCCATGGTTCAAGTCCCGCCACAGCAGTAATGTCTTTTGGCAAGATATTAATCTACATTTGCCACTCTGCTGTGAGCACCGAAAGCGGCTGCCTAGCAGAGCCAGGGTAATAGTTGGAGCGCCTTGAGCATATTGTTATTATTACTTTGACAGTGACAACCTCCGTCCTTCCTCACTAAGAACAGCACAGACTAAGGTCATCCATCATATGAAAGTTGCATGTAAGAAGTTTGATCCCATAAACTTACAGTGTTGTATCTTTTTAGAAGGATTTGGCATGTAGGACTAATATTAATTGCTAATAGTTTATATTTCAAAGGGCAATCCAACCTTTGTAACAAGTTGATTTATGTTAAAGCAGAAAAAAATGAGTGTAATAGACTGGTGAAAGTTTGAAAGAAATCAGACATAGAATAAGAAATAATGTTTGAAAAGTTAGATTACAACATCTATGTAAATCTCAGATCTGCAATTTTATGAGGCAACAGGGACGTATGCAGCTGACAACTTGTATGTCATACACAAAAAATAAAATAATTAATGATTTTCTTTTAAGCTCCTCTTCCATTGTGGCAGTACTCAAACTATATTGTAACCCTCCCTCCCCCTAATCAGTGGCCTTGTGAATTTCATTTCAGAATTTCCAAGAACACCGGTACCCCCCTCTTTATAGAGCTACCATGTTGTATTTTTTGCCATGAGTGTGGGCTACAGTTAAATAAGTTGCAATTTTGATATTCAAACATGATTCATTACACCGGAGTGTTGGCTCAGTCAGTAGAGCGTCCGCCTCATAACCGGGAGGTCGTGTGTTCGAATCCCGGCCGCGTCATACCAAAAGACGTTAAAAGATGGGAGTTGTTGCTACCTTGTTTGGCGTTCAACAATAAGGGATAGAGCAACGTCGATCTGGCGCTGCTCAGTGGCTGCCGGGCTCACGATCAATTGGGCAAAAAGAATTTCCGTTTCGGTTTAATAAAATTTTGAGTGAACTATTAGGCTATTATTATTATTATTATTATTATTATTATTATTATTATTATGATTTATCAATTTTAATGATTGTACATGTAATTGTGAAATGAACTGTACAAAAACGATTCCAGTTACTGTATATTGCAAAGAAATAAATGCAGTCATAATCAAGACGAAAGTATTAATCTTAAGATTTGATTGCTTTGTGCTATTCAACGTTTATTCTTATTTAGTTAGATTCGTTTATAGGAGAAATGTGTCTGAGAGAGTAATGTACTAAAATGATAATGACTTATGTGACAACAAAGAGGGGTAATAAACGACAAAAAGAGAGATAAAGAGAGAGAAAGAAAGAGAAGGAGGGGGATGTTCTTGTTTGCATGTGAGAGCTAGAGAGGAGAGAGAGAGAGAGAGAGAGAGAAAGAAAGAATTGAGAAGAAGTTGTACATAGTGCTTGGTGTGCCCCCCCCCCCAAACAAAAAGTATACAAATATGCTATTGACCATTGACAAAAATATTCAATGAAACTTAAATCACATATGAAGCAGGACAGTATATACAATTTCCATAACAGGCATTCAGAGTCACTAACAAATCATTGCATTTCCTGCATTATGTAAAGGATTCAAGATGAATTTCTGGATGGGGCAGAGTGATGCGAGTCTAATATTGAATATAGTGCTGTGATTTCGAGGAAACAGAATCAGCTAGGTATGACAAATATAGTTTTATGGGTGGGGAGGAGGGGGGGGGGGGTACGCAAATGGGCATTGCTTTGCACAGCGCGCACGTCAACTGGGACGGTTCGTAAAAACGAAATTTCACATAACCAACAGGGGAAACGGGGCCGCGTAAGCTGCGGGGCCACTACGTGAAGACGAGCCTAAGCGTGGATGTCAAGTTTTTCGTTTTCACGAACCGTCCTCTGACTGTCCTCTGTGATTGAGGTCTAATTATTGTTTAAATAAACATTATTTCCACGTAAAACTTATATCATTTCATTCTGTAGATAGGGTACTATCAAGATATCCAAAAAAATGAATACCATCACATACTTTTTCCCCGTGAAAACAGCGATTGTAAAAAAGTGAAACTTTAAACGCGTTTATCTCAAAATTTGTTTCTGTACGCTAAAACGCTCTTAGGACACTTCGTGAAAACGGTGACGAAATGTATGATGAAAAAAAGAAAAAAGATGCAGAAACCAATAAATCAAATCAAATCAAATTGCAAAAATAACAAGAAAACAAAAGTACATTTTCATTAACTTTTTAGAAATATATTATGATCAAGCATATTAAATTAAGAAATAATTTTCTGTCTATTCTCCCATTCTCGCCCCCGTTAAACATACTCCAAACCACCCTCACCCATACACTACTACCCCCCCCCCCCCACACCATGCGACACACGACACACAACAAACACACAACCACCCGACCACACTTCCACACACTGTTCTATATAGGCTTCTCAGAATACATAATATTGGAGCGACAGAATAATAGAAATAATCTATTTAAAAAATGAATAAATAGTTGAAATGAATAATTGAACAACCTTGCTGAGAGAGTTGAACCCCGCCCACTAACTCACACAACCACACACGCACGCACGCACACACACTTTCTATATGTCTCGTTCCCTCTGTTTCTTTTTTTTTCGTGAAGTGAATGAACTATATTGAAAGGCCACATAAGTCGTGAAGTGCCAGCATAATTTCATGAAATACATGTAGCACGGACAGTTATAAAATAGACATCAATTTTTATTGTTGTATACTATAATCCAGGATTACAGGTTGATCTCGCGGTGGACATTTTATGGTAGGGTCCATGCATGGTACAGGTCAGGTAGTGTTGTTATTTTGATCTGTCTGAAACCAATTCATGATGTCTCAAAATAGCGGAAACGAAAAAATTATGAGCGACGGCGCTGCCAGAGAAGAAAAAGAAAAAGAAGGAGAAGAAGAAAAAGAAGAAGAAGGAGAAGAAGAATCAACGACAAAGAGATGGTTGACATCTCTTTTCCTTCTCCTTATCGTGTTGGCATACCTTTTTATCGGAGCGCTCGTTTTCCGCGCTCTCGAGCGTCCGGCCGCAGTCCAAGCTTCCGAGGACTTCCATGCAGGGCTCCTGCGGCTCGCATCGGAAAATGATTGCGTGGATGAGGAGGACGTTGCCGAGTTGATGAGCATCGTGATGAGGGCCATAGGAGAAGGGGGGTACATCGGTGGTCATCCCTACGCTTCCCAATTGAGCATGGGAATGGTTAATGAAACGTATTTCTCCGATCCGTGGAGCGTAGGACAGGCCTTCATCTTTGCATCTACAGTGGTGTCTACAATAGGTAGGTTCATTAAGATCAATTCAATTCAATTCAATTCAAATCACATAACATTTCTTCCGTAACTGAACCAAAACATGAAATAATAATAATAATAATAATAATAATAATAATAATAGTGGGTTCTTGTATAGCGCTCATGTCTGTCATACGTGGGCATACGTGACACTCCTGGCGCTTCTAATAATTATTATTATTAACCTGGCTTAGCACGGCTGCCATACGGCGCTCTAGCATTTTAATTTCAAGGAATTAATTCCTGCCAGGTGCCATTTACATCACCTGGGTTGAGTGTGGCAAATGTAAATCAATGTCTTGCCAAAGGACATTAGTGCCGCGGCGGAACTCGAACCGCGGACCTTGTGATCGACAGTCCGGTGACATATCCACTCGACCACGACACCTCTACTAATGAAACTAATGCTTACATAAAATCAATATCAAATTTGTAATGTAATCTAGAAAATGGAACTTATTTGATTGATTGATTGATTTTTATTCGACAAGCTTCCAATATATACAACAATATACAATAATAACAGATCAAAAATAAGTCAGCTTGAACAGGATAACCCACGAAAGCTCGAGAGCTTATTTCCAGTGGGGTCCCTTACAGACATGTATACAATTAATAAATTAAAATAGTAATATTTACAGACAGATAAGAAAATTAAAAGAACTACTTATTAAAGATAATAATAACAACATTAAACTGATGATAGAAATGATATTAAGTACAAGAAGAAAAAGAAGAAGGAGAAGAAGAAAAAGAGGAGAAGGAAGAAGAGGAAAATAATGATGAATTTGTAGAATTTCTATAACGTACGAAAACATAAGTATATACAACATGAAAAAGTATGAACCGACAGAAGAATAACAATTTCAATCATATAACATGTCATTCACTTCTCTTCTCTGACTGTCAAGTATTAGGTATTCCTTTAATTTCCTCTTAAAATGATCATAGTTTCCTATTTCTTTTACACCATTGGGAAGGGAATTCCAATGTTTTATGGCATTGTAATAAAAACGAATTTCCAATACTACCTACTCTTTCTGGTAAGTTAAAGTTGAATCGTCTATTTCTTGTATTATAATCATGTACGTCAGTAACAAGATCGAAGTTGGATCGAATATAATGATTCGCCCTAGTATGATATATTTTATGCACGTGATGCAATGCGAGTTGTTTTGATCTTTGGTCGACTTCAAGAAAACCAGCTTTAGAAAGTTCGCTATAGCCAACATGAGTTCTTGGACCAGAACAGTTGATAAATCTCACCATTTTGTTCTGTATAATCTTCAACTTCTTTTGATCTGACTTGTTTATGTTACTGTACCATGCAGGGTTAGCATAGTCAAATAAACATTGAATAAGAGCAAAACAGAGTGTACGTCTTGCTTTTAAATCCATACAACTTTGATATCTGTACAAACATTTCAGACGAGAATTTGCTTTTTTTACAACTGATTCTACTAAAGATGAAAATGAAATTGCGCTAGCCAACTCAATGCCTAAATACTTCACAGACTCTTTTCTCTTGATTGCTTGATTATTGTGTGTCACTTTGAATTCAAATGACTTTTTAGAACTACTTTTAGAACAAAATAAAATGCTTTCTGTTTTTCCCAAGTGTAAAGAAAGCTTATTATCAGTCATCCAATCGACACACGTAGACAGCTGTTCACTGAGCTTTTCCTCAATATATTTAGGATCAGGATTTGAATAGAGTAGTACGCTGTCATCTGCGTACAATAATAGTTTGAAGTCTTTTATACAAATACACATATCATTTATATAACTTGAAAATAGAATTGGGCCTAAAATACTTCCCTGAGGAACACCGCATGTTATAGGCATTAGTTTGGAACGAATATCATGAATGGCCACTACTTGGTGCCGATTAGATAAGTAGGATCTGAACCAATCTAAACTTGCCTTATCAAAACCCATTAGTTGTAACTTCTTCAATAAGACGCAATGATTAACTGTATCAAAAGCTTTTTGCAGATCAAGGAGCACCATACCAACAAAGCGTCCTTGGGAAGTTTCTCTCCTCAAATAATCAGTCAAATGAATTAGACATGTTTCAGTCGAATAATCATGTCGAAAACCAGATTGAAATTCATAAATTATATCATTTTCTTTGAAGTATCTTTCAATTTGAACACAGACCGATTTTTCTAGAATCTTTGATGCTACGCTAAAACACTAATAGGTCTATAGTTGCTAACATCAGTTTTATCTTTCTTTTTATAGAGTGGAGTCACTTTTGCTATTTTCATATCTTCTGGAAAAGTACTCGTCAAGATAGATAGGTTCATTAAGTAACTTAGAGGCTTAAATAAAACCTTCGCACCATCTTTTAGAAATTTAGCTGGAATCAAGTCTAACCCAGTACTTTTTGATACATTCAACTTACGTAACTCTTTGAAAACAAATTGTTCACTGATTGGTAATAACTCGAAGCTGTTTTCACGTACACCTTTTCTTTCGTAAAAGTCACGAATACAATCATTGTCTGCGCTGAAAAAGTCTTTGGAAGGGGGGAGTTTGTCTACTAATTTGGCAGCCACATTTGTGAAATGAGAATTGAATTCATCAGCGATGGCCATCTTATCATGACATAATTCCCCATCAATTTTAATGACAGATTCTTGTTCTTTTCGCTTCTTATTTTTCAATCCTAAGCTTTTTAGATTCTGCCAAAGTTTTTTCGAATCTTGTTTATTTTCTTCTATCTTGTTTTGTAAGTAATCGAGTTTAGCCTTTTTCACCTCTCTTTGGACCATATTTCTTAATACTCTGTATCTTTTATAGAGCTTCTCATCTTTTGCTCTTTTCCTCCATTTTTTGTATACTATATTTCTCTCTTGAATTAGGGAAAGAATATCTTTAGTCACCCAAGTTTCTGATCTTTGTTTTATTCTTATCCGTTTCAGTGGCGCTATCATATTCAAATTTGAGATAAAAACATGTTGAAATATTGACCATGCCTCATTTACATCTGTACAGTCAGTTATTCGTGACCAATCAACAACAGATAGTTGAAGATTGAAAGACTCTTCTGTATATTTTTTCATGGATCTGATATCATTAGTCCTGTGATGACCTATAGCCAGTCTAACATTTTTCCGTGTACAGAAAGTAAAATAATGGTCGCTAATACCTAGATCAATGACACCACTTTGACTTATTTTATTTTCTTTGGTACAACCAACATGATCCAATAGAGAAGAACATGTAGGTGTAACGCGTGTTGCCTCTTTAATGAGTTGACTAAACCCATGAAGACTCAACAAGTCAAATATTTTTTAGCCAGTGGCGATTTGCGAAGAAGACAAATATTCATGTCTCCTAAAAGAATTATTTCGTCATCCTTCTTTAATGTATCAAGAATATTGGACAATTTCTCGATAAACAAATTGTTTTTCGGAGGTCGATACAGAACACCAACAACAATTGGTTTGATCTTGGTATAAGCAAATTTATCCACAGGGATTCCGTATCTCCAGTACTTATAGCATCCATAATATTAAATGCAATATCATTTCTGATATAGAAACATACACCACCTCCAGAGCCAGAGGGTCGATCATGGCGTATGATTTTATATCCGTCTATTTCAATTTCTTCATCATTTATGGAATTGTTTAACCATGTTTCAGTGAAAGCAATAATAGACAGCCTTTTTCTTTTAAAAAGAATTCTAAGTTCCGATATCTTGTTTAGAATATACCTCACATTAAGGTGTAAAAAATGAAGACCTTTAACTTTAAACTTTTCTTCAAATTCTTGATAAAGAGAAGTGTTTTCATCTGTGAGGTTTGGCTGAATTACTCTTGCTATCGCTTGCTTTTCAGGTGTAACGCGCGTTATCTTAAAATAGTTTTTTTTAGTCTATCCTCGTTTTGGCTTTCTTTCTCTAAACAATCGTCGTTAAATAATGAGTCACAAAAAGATGGCAGACAACATGTTAAACAATTCCACTTCTCATCAGGGCATTCATAATATAACCTGCGGTACTCTGAAAGACTGATAGCTTGACAATTAGTGTGAAACCATTTTTTACAATAAGAACACAGAAGGCCGTGTTGATTACATTTGACTGGCTTATCACAGTTCCCACAAGGGAACTTATATTTTCGACCGTCAACTATAATTTTCGGATCATCACTAGATTTTGTCAAACTTTCACTTAATTCAATACCCTTCTTACAAATTGAAGATATTTCGCCCAGTCTTTCATGTCCACCTTGGATGGTCTGAAGGCTGGTTTCAGTCGTGACCTCTGTTTGACTGCACTGAAATCCAAAGATCTCCCAAAACAGATTCGGCGTAGGACTTTACGGGGCTGCTTTTCTCCTCATCAGAATGAAGACTCTGGTTTTCTCGGTAGATGGCTTGATGCCGCCTTGCTCCAGGTTCACTGCCTGTAACTTGATCGGACGACCGTTGAGTCCAGCCATGGCCTCGTGTTGTCGGTTGGTCAGCACTGTTGATGAGGCGTTTCAGGTTGCCTGCCAAGATTCGTTGACCGGCTCTGTTGAGGTGAACGCCATCACGCCCGAGATGCTGCTCGCTGATATCATTGTTGATGATGAGGCCCCATCTGTTCTCGCTGGCTGCCAACTCCATCAGATAGTTGATCTCATCAACCCGCTTCTTGTCCGCTTCACTCTCCCCTCTACGATGGATGATCGTAGAGACTGAGACGTTAAACCCCTCGGCAGCAACAGACTTGCCGAGGTCTGTGATTTGGTGGCAAACTTCACCAGCACCCTCAGAGATGTTATTGGTGCCAGCGTGGATGATCAGTTCTCCCCCTGGCTTGAGAAACTCGCAAGGTGAAGAGGTGAATATGTCTCTCACTTTTGCACCGGGAAAAGAGACGCACCTCACATTCTTGCTGCGGGAGAGATGTCTTCCGTCGATGTGTTTTATCATGGAATCACCGACCACAACTACATCTCGTTTGTTGCGGATCACACTATGTCGGTGG